TCAGTTTATCAAGAAACACCCCCCAACTCCTCCAACGGGACGATCAAATGATCTGGGGTCGGCATGATCCAGAGCTTCACTTGACTGCTATTGGGTTGGATCTTTAGACTTTAACTTCTTCGGAAATAATGGTGTTTTCCACTAAACCCCCCAAAAAGTTAAACTTTTTTGCAGGGGGGTCAACAGCAACCAAGTCTTGATTCAAGGACGCTTGGTTTGTGTTGCCCCCCCCATCGCCACAGGAGCTGCAGGCAGGGGCCAAGTCAACGGAGGGGTCGAGTCAGGTTTTCGGGGCGCGGCCAGGGCTCCTCGAGATCTTGGCTGGTAGGTCGAACTTCTAGGGGTTGATTCCTTTTCCATTCTTTTAAACCATCGTTCTTTTCAACAACCGGCTGTTTCCCCTGGGTGTTTTACGGTTTCCTGAAAAGAAGGATCCCTGGAAATATTGGGGAAGATACCCTTAGAAAACTCGACCGTGAATCCTTCTGCCAGTGGCTTAGTGGTGTCCCACTATGGATTATGGATTTGAATGAGGGATGCCTCGTTTCTGAACAACGCTGTTTACCAACCAGAACTGCGGTGCGATGTGAAAATATGGGATTGCACGTTTGGCAGCATGTGCGCAACTGGTGTCGACTTGCCATGTGACCCAAATTGACTGCTTCAATCCTACAAAGCTTGTGGACAATCCTACTCTCTTGCTGTGTCTTGTACTATTGCCGGTCAAGCTCGATGCAATCAGTATTCCATTTTGCTAGGTCCCTGTTTGCGGATAAATTCCAGAGGGGCAGGGAGTATTGGGCTGTGCTTTTCTGGAGTCAGCCATAATGTCTCAGGTCAAATGGTCAAGCTTAGCTGTCAGCTGCACTCAGCTGAACGACCATGAGCAGCAACGCTGGATAGTGTTCTCGTTCCGCCGTTCTTTTGCTTGTTTTGTGGGTTCTGGGCCAAGAATGGCGAGCCTCAAAAATGCTTTTGCGTTTGGGTTCGGCAACCCCAAACCCGGGTTCCCTCAGTGAACGGGTCAGCGGGTCACTGGGTCGGAAATGGATGCGGCAGGTCAAGGTGACCTGGGACCAGCTCACAGCCGTCGATCTATTGAGGCCTAGAAGCTCTAAAACTTGTAATCCACCAGGTTGACAAAGCCTGGGTCGTTGTTAAGTCACGACTCCATTTTGCTCAAATCAATCTACAAATAGTTCCAACTCCACATAATTTTAGGGCTATTCTTTTCAACCATCGTTCTTTTCAAAAGCCAGCCGTTTTCCCTGGGTTTCTAGAGGTTTTCTAGAAAGAAGGTAACTGGACCGAACGGGGAAGATTCCTCTAGAATAATCATGGCTTTCCCTCATGTTGCAGGTGAGCCCCTCCATAAAATAGGCATATCAATGGGGCAAACAGTTCCTGGCGTTTTGCTTCCATGATCATGACCGAATTTGGTTTTCAAGCACCCCATAGCTTTCATCGATTTCGAAGCCCCCCAATGAAGGTTCCCTTCTCAAGTTCTTCTGTAAGGATGGGGGCATTCATGGGAGGGGCACTCATTGGGCTTGCAAGGAGCAATCACAATACCTCAATCTCCGTCAAATTCATTCAAATTGTGTTGGGCATAGTGTTTGCTGAGAGGCTCCCTTGGTACCTCCTGACAATGGCTTTTGGGCCCAACAAGGGGTCGTTCAGTACCTCCTCAGAAGGTACCAAGGGACCCTTTGGGTTGGATTTGCTTCTTTGTTTACTGTTTTCGCCAAACACGCTGAGGTGTCAACTCGGAGCAAAACCAATCGGCCAGGCAGCCAAACAACCTGTTTCGCCAACCAAAAGGGCCAACAAAAGCACAAAAGCAACGTGCCCCGTCGTTCTGAGTTTACACGGGCTACAAGTGAGCCTTTCACGACACACTTGTTTGGATGGATGTTGCATGTGTTGATCCGTGTTGGTATGATTGTTTGTGTTCGCACATGTTGAATGTTTGTTTGGAAATTTGTTGAATGTGCCGGTATTTGTATCAATGGAGGTAACAACGCACTTGGGCGCTTATATCCCTGCGTCATGCAACATGGTCTGAGTATCTTGCCGCAGCTGTCACATGGCAAGACTACCGCAGTCAAGTCAATTGCAACCATGGCTTTGTCACCTAAGTGGCATGAACCTGCTCATCTCGCTGCCTACATGCCCGTAAGCCTGTTTAGCTCCGCCCGAAAAGGTAGAACACGGGTTGAGCCTCCAATTTGCTGGGGAGTCATGCCCCTCCTTTCCTCAAATGCGCCCCTGAAAAAAGGCCCTAAAATATCAATGCGAGAGATGCCAATTGACGTTGACCCGAAACGGTTTCTACAACGAAACAAGTACGAACACACAAGTTGAGGGATACTATTTGGGGTACCTGAAGCTGTTCCTTCAACAGGAAATGATCTTCAGCTACCCTCCCACAGGTGCTACGTTCGTTGGGGAGAGAAAGGATAGCCACACCCCACCCAAGGCTTTCGTTGACAGCATCAAGGCTTTCGTTGACAGCATCCCCAAGAAACCTGAACTTCGCGTTTCGGGCACTTAGCAGACCTTACATGAGAAGACTGGTGGCTTTTTCGGCAGACACCTGTGGCCATGAGGTTGGCGCATGGCCGTACGGCACAAATTATACCTGATACCCATCCTGTTGCCCCGTGTGAACTGAATTTGCCAACCTGTAATTTTGTAAGCCCAGGACTCCACCAGATTTAGGCAACATGTTTTATATCATTTGGTTTCATTGCAAATCCTTCTGTCAAAGTATTCCTGCAAAACGAGGAAGCGCTGGCTATCTCACACTTTTCAGAGGCACAGGCGTCCAGATGGGTGGCTTGGAATTAGTGGAGCATGTATCTTTTAGGGGTTGCAATGTTTTCTTAAGCCCCCAATCGCTACAGATGCCACATGACGCAGGTTTGTTGTGGCATATTCACCCGGGCACTGGCAAGGCTCAGTCCATTTCCAGCTATGGCTCCTTTCAAGGATCTGATGCATTGCTGCAACTCGTGCCAGCACCATTTAGAACTAAAAAACAAACCATTCAACACAATCACAATACCCAAAGCAGAAAACACGACGAAACGCACTCGCACAAATACTAAACTTGGCGCAGGCCGTGACTTTGCAGAACGCCGTGTCTCACACTTTCGCCCAATACAAAGCGGATAAGTCGACGAGGTTTCACCGCCAGGCAGCTGAGTTTGGGATTCGCAATGGCCTCGTACAATCTTACAGCCATGCGGCCCTTTGGAGCGTTGTTCAATTGCCCTTGCATGCGTCGGTGGGCACATCTTACATGGTCAAGCAAAGGAATCCCGTGCAAACTGACGATCACAAGCAGAAAAAGAGGGCTAGTCTTGAATTTGCTGCTAGCCTGGAAAAGCCAGGCATGGCCATGACATATCCATGCCTGCGCAGCGATCGTTGAATCTCACCAGAGGTTTATGCTGAGGAGCTGTTCTCACCCCGTGGATTGCTTCGCGGAGAAAGTGGGTTGGCGCTGTGGCGATGTGAAATCTTCAGGAGTTCAACTGCCCAGTTCTTAGACGGCACCCTCGTTTCGGTTGTCTCATGGCCACTGGGAAGACGTGTTGGAGAAGGTTCCTTTTGTCGGGGTGCCAATTGGCTTCTTTGAGGGAGGTTCTGGGGACATTGGTCAAATATGTGGCTGGATGTTGAACCAACCCCCGAATCACCCTCCCTAAATATCTTCTGGCTTCCCGAGTTTGCAGCACTTCCCCACTTTGCAGCGAGAAACGCCAAAGAAAAGACACCCCCCCCCAAAGAAAACAACATGAAACGGCCACGGTCGATCCGGCCCTTTCGCTGGTCCGGAAAACCAGACGGTGATCCACTCGACCAAGCCCACAGTGGCCATGATCGAGTTGGACGAGGAGCGCCTGGATCGAATGCGCCAGGCCCGCCTCCGGGCCTCCAAGATGGAGATGGAGACGGGAGACGGGTTGGACGGTGGCAAACCTAGGCATTGGTGGCAAAAACGGCCAGGGCCTTGGAATCTTTAAAAGGAAAACAAAGAGAGTTGTTTAAGATCTGTTTAAGCATGGCCTTCCTTTTTGGTGTCCCTTTTCAATGTTTTGCAAAGGGGGGACTCACCAACGTTTACACAGAGCCATGTTGGAAGTTGGAAGCATCTCTTTCAGGTTTCGGCACATGGTTCGTAGCATCATTCCAGTTTCATGCATCTGATGGCGTCAACTTCAGGATGCCGATTGCAGACCTTCAAAGGAGCCTCCCTTTGATACTGGAGAAATGCCCAGTTGTTTTCCAGAGAGGTCTCGATGAAGCGTAAGCTAGAACAGGTAGAGGGGGCGTGCAGGACAAAGCTGTAAAGGAACGATTTGGGTACCAGAGGTCCTTGCATTTCCCTGCCGATCTTAAACGGGTTTCTTGTCAGTACGCGTCTTACTCACCCTGCCACTAAGCGACCTGGAACCCACCAGAAGGTCGGTCTTCCAGAAAGGTTCCATGTGGCTGGGAGGGTGTTAATCCCCTGAAGTCTTGGTGCCAGAGCCTTCCCCTGGAAAGGCTTGGCCAGAAACCCGCGGCTGCCGTGGTTTTCCGTTCTTCGGCAAGGTGCCGGCAGAGGCGCTGGAGCCACCAGAGACCACGCTACAGCCCCGGACTCAGCTAGCAGGTGACCCAGTTGAGCTACTTGGACCTTTGCCAGGCTCATTCTTTGGATTGTTTCTGGGGTCAAAGTGAGGCAACGTGACTTACAGCCTTGGGTGAATCGTTCACTGGCTTCCATGCTTCGGATCTCTTTGGGTTGGGCAGCTTCGGGGCTCGCTGAAAATGGAATCAGCCCAAAAATGGGCTGTTGTGTTGCTACCAGGTTTACCCTGCAACCGAGGGTGACGTTGTTCCCTCCTTGCTATGGGCGAGAGCGCAAAGAGTTCGATGCGTTTTGGTGGACAGTTTTTGTTCACATGCAGCTAAAGTTTCCTCGAAACGGGTTGAACGGTTGTTTGGGCATGGCCGTACCTCGACGACATAGTCATGCACCTGGATGTATTACACGGGTCATCCCCCCCCCCACTGGCCCAAGAACTGGAACACCTTATAATACCTCACCCACAAGACAACGAGGCAAGATTCGATGAGAAGTGAAGTGGACGGTATCAATCTTGGCACCGCATTTTTGCTGGTCAACGTAGTTTTAGCTTTGGGGCTTTGCCTGCCCCAAGATGACGATGGTGACACTGAATTTGTGGGGAATACCGCTGGTCAGGCTCCGCTGTGTTTGAGCTGGGTTCTAGACAGATTTGTTGTAGCGGATCCAGGTTTGTTGGTTTCGCTTGGTTTTTGGTGCCAAGAGCCTGCGAGAAAGCCTTCTTCTGTGCATGTCAGGGAGATCAAGTTTAGATCCGACGACAAGGAGATGCCTTGGGAGTCTGCCCGGCATGTTGGCCACTTCAGGTGTGTGCATTGGGGTCATCTATCGGACTTTGCGCTTTTGTGTTTTACAAGTTTGTCTCCCTTCCAGATGTTTTAAGAACCCCAAGCACCTCCTCCAAGAAGCTGCTGAAACCCCCGGCAGGGGAAGTGATTGGGCCTTTCAAAATCGCTCCCATGTTTGACCCACAACAGGTGCGGGCTTGCATCCGAGCCGCGAGAAGTTAGGGAGGCTTCACGTGTTGCATGCAACTGAGGTTTTGAGCACCAGATTGTGGTGTTCGCATGCATCCCTGGATCGAACGGAGCAGTTTTGGCCATTTTGGGAGGGAAGGAAAACAACATGAGCGACGAGCTGAGTGCCAGGATAACGACCTACGCACAAAGGGCTGTGTGGAACTCCCAGCAGGCCGACGCCTCGGCAGAGACGTCCGGACCCATTATCCCTAGGTCCCCCATGGCTCATATTTCTACCCCCCCTTCAATCAGAAAAAGTAAGCCTTTTACGAGGCGAGAAGGAGCCGCGGCGCGATCCGTCCCTTTTTTCCAAGCAGCGTTTCCAAACAGCGCCAGCTATGGCACACCCCTTCTGAGCACACACATTAAGCACTGTTCAAAGGCCAGACAAATGATAACCACGCCCACCGAGTATGTTTGTGGGGCTGGAACCGTGGAAAAGCATTGCGGGTCCTGACCAACATGGCGCATATTAAAAGGGGGAACCATCCTGAATTAGTGCGGTCCTCCGGATCAGTCCGAAATGGACTGCATAAATCTAAAGAATCTCTGCCAAGTACAGAATCACAGCCAGTTTTAGCTTACCACAAAGTCCTAGGAAAGGATATGCGTGGATGCATTCCCAAGCATGCACACACGTTGGCCGGTCGACTCATCATACCACGAAATCTTGAAGTATGAAAAGAGCCAAGCCCAGCCTTCATTGGACCTCTGCGATTTCCCCGGCTTTCCATTGGGGGAAGGTCTGCCTATTTTGTAACAAGCTCACCCGGGGGTAAAACGAGCTCACTATGATGAAGGTCCTTTACCTGGGGATCATTGGGGATCCCTTAATTCAGCTCTTGGAATTATTGTGAAAAATGCAGAATTACTTTGACTTGGGGCCATTGGCGGACACCATCTACCTGGGGTTTTGTGCTCATCGGTGCTCAGCACGGGTAGGTCTATCTGCCTCCCAGGCTGGCGAGCACATCGCGTGTGAGGTCCACTTCCATTCGGAGGATGAGTACGGCCTCGAGGTGCGCCGCCCCAGCGCTTCGCGCATGGCTGGGCACAAGTCACGATGGGAAGTGATAGCGACCTCTTGCGGCTTCCTTCCATTGCGGACCCCAAATCCGGTTTTGGTGAGCTAGATTGAGTTAGAACTCAGTCGTGCATTGATTTTGCCAGCGGCCCAAGAAGTCAACATGAGTTTTGGTGTTTGCTTCTCGCGCGAAACTTCGGCTGGGCTCAGGTGGAGCCAATTCCGCTGGACGGCCACGGCCTCAGCGCCGAAGGGTGGGACATTGGCATGCGGAAGATGGCCAGGGAGCCCTGCAGGTGATTTGGATCCAGGAGTGCCCTTTACCTTTTTTGGGGGGGAAGGTACTAAAATAGACTACCGAAAAAAGAAAAAAAAACACAGTTGGTACCTTTATTCTAACCTCTCTACTGGAGGACCTAGTTCCACACACCAACCATAGCGGGGGGGGGCAGTCTTGTCACTTTCCACACTGGCACTGCGCAGGTTCCCTGTTGAAGAATCCGGTGGTTGTCCAAGGAGGTGCGGGGTAGTGCAGGGGATCTTAGAATTTTAAGGAGGCTTAAGTTATTAAGCGCTCATTGATCTGATGTCGGTCAGTCCAGTCCAAGAAGCAGGACGGCAAGGCTTGCATGCTCATTTTTTTGCCGAACGACCCCAGGCCCTGGCTTTTCCGTATTTTGTTTAGGTGGGACGCCTTGATCTGGCGAGTCTGGTGTAAGGACCTCTGTGCTTGCCCGAGAAGCGCGCGTTGCAAGGCAGCGAGTTCATGTGGCTGATGCGGAGAGGTGGCCGTTGCCCCGGAGAATGAGCGGAAAAAAGCGCCGAAACCTGCGTGCACATCAGACAGTTTGCCGGTTTTAAGATGTGGCTGTGGGTCAAAAATATGGTAACCCCAAAATGGAACCCTGGTAAATGGAAACAAGGACTCAAACCTGCGGTCGCCTGGTGGTTAATTTTGACCCATACCCATGTTGTACGAGAACAACGGCTACGTAACGCGCGTCTTGCCAAGGGGCAAGAAGGATACATATGGGAATGAACATGAGTTTAGCACAAGTTTAAATTGGTGTTCACACAGGGTCGTTGCCATGTGCTGCACAAAGAGTTTATGTTGAAACTCCCGCAGGAACAAGAGGCACGCTGTACTCCTTTATGTTTTTGCTTCTGACCCATTTTGGGTCCAAGCACTTCCTGGTTGACCCCTTTAAGGCTCTTGCCTTCGGTCTCTATCGGGTTCCCAGCTGTGGCATGCGATGTCCGGGTGAGACTTCGCCATCGCCACTCTGGAAACAGGTCCCAATGGCGAGTTCGCCCCTTTCGCGCTGAAGGCCCGTGTGCGAAGTGGCCACCGGGCGAGGGCGACAAGTAACGAGCTGTGGCAAGTCATGAGGAAAACCACCCATTATGGAGGTTCCCCTATCTTTGGGTTGTTCAGCCGGCTGGGCAACTCCCTAGGATTGTTCCTCTGCGGTTTCCTAACAGATGGCTGTGGGTCAAAACCAATGGTACCATTTTGGTTGGTAGGTGAATTCAAGATTCAATGGTTGTTGCAGGACCGCTTAAGTCAACTGTTGGATGCTACACTCCTCTCAACCAGCCAGCCGCAATGGAATCTTCAAAGCACCCAATCACATGAATAAGAACCGTTTCGGTTGATGATAGCTACTTTTTCCACTGATGTCAAGAAGGCGACGTCCTCAAGTCGAGTCTCGAGCGGGTCGAAAGCAGGACCTACCCTCTCGCACATACACATAGAACCTGATCCCTTGAAACTTGAAGCCTGAAGTGCCCATGACCCACCTATCAGCCCTCCCTTTCCCGCGGAGGGCGACCTTTGGTTTCCTCCCTGCTACTTGCTCCTTCCGCAGTCATGGGACACGTTTTTTAGGAACCCACTTTGAAGCAGCAAGGTAGTCAGAAGCATGTTCCACTTTGGAAAAAGCTTGTCATGGTCCAAAATAATCAGCTGGCGGTTTCGTCCCACTCTTGTAGCCAAGAAGCTGGGTCAAGTGTTGCAGCGATCAGCCAGAGTTCCAGTTGGGCTTATCTTTGGCGGACCTCTGGAAACAGGTGGTTTTTATTTTGTGCTTCCCTCTACAACGCCCCCAAAGGGGCATCCCCAAAACAGAACATAACATTTGTGGCTTCCCCACTTGGGAGCTCAAACATCTGCAATCCTCCTCTGGCCTTTGGCTCGTTGCCCGCCTTCCCGCCCTTGGGCCCTCAGTGCCCAAGACGGGCCAACCGCGCGGAGCCGCGGGGCCGCGCCTCGCGCGGAGCCAAGCGATGCTGCCGCCGGTGGATGTGCGGCGCCGGAGCGCGGCGTTGCAGGCGGACCCCAAGGCGGGCAGTTCGATGCCAGAGGGCGGCCCTGTATCCGCTTTCATTTGCTTAAGACTACGCTCCCTCCCACTAACATGGCAGTTGACAGGGGGTTCCTCAAGGAAATTCATTTTCCTGGTACCTTGTCATAGGTGCCATGTTAGTGGGAGGGATGGTATTTGTTTTGTTCCCCTCTTGGTTGATTTGCTTCAGAAAGACTATGTTTCTTGTGATTTTTAGAAAGAACCTATCACTACTGGATATGTCATGGGACATAAGCAGATGGACATTTGTCTAAGGGGGTCAAAAGGTCAAAGGCAAACCCTGCTTGAAAATGATAAATTGTTGTAAGTTTACCCTTTTATTTTTTTGAAAGCAGATGGCACACATCCTTTTGTATCGGGTCAAGGCGAGTGTCCACTTCTGTTGAGCGTTTGTCACGGTGGACAGCAATGTCCGTGATCGCCAGTGATTGGCAGCAGGTGGCACAGAAGACTGGTATGGGACCCTTTGGTGGACCTCAGTTAGGTGCAGATTTGGGTGTGGCTCAAAATTGAAGAGCCAGCACACGCAGCTTTTACTCTTTGGCTCCATTTCCCAAGGTGCAATTTTGGTACATTTATTTGAGCCACAGCCATTTGCGTCCACCAACCACTTTTCATCGCGTTCCCCATCAAACTTCATAGCCACGTGACCTCCGACAAAGTTCTGCTTATCTCCGCGAGGCTGTGGAGATGCGGCACTTCCTGGGCAGCAAAAACCATGAGAGCCGTGGCAAATCGTTTGAAGCCAAAGCCTGCGAGGTTTGCTTCGCAGGGCGGCTAGATTTGAATGGTGTGATCTTGTGCTCCCTTGGAAGGCGCTTGTGCTGGGTGAATCAACCTGTTGGAAAACATTGACTTCCCGAGGGAGGGTGCAAGCATTGACAATGAACTGAGAAGAAGTCTTTGGCTTCAAGACATGGCAAGCACCGGTCCTTGAGCTGGCGCACAGACCACTCTGATGCATGTAGATGGCCATGCTGCTTTGTAAGGCTTGAAGTGCCTGCTTCCACGCTCCAGCGAGGTCAGGTCCTTTTCAGTTTTGACCCACAGCCACATATGGGCAAAGATGTGGCCGTATTCACAGCTGCTGCCTGGCTTAGTTACCCAAGACTTTAGGTTGGAGCTGGCAACCTGGAATACTGCCCACATTAATTCGCATGCGGCTTGATGTTTTTGCATCCTGGTAAGGCTCCTCTGTTATGGACGAGAATTTAAAAACTGAGACATGCCGGTTCTTGTCGAGGAGGGGGGAGCAAGCTGAGCCTGGCTTCCTCCAAGTCAGACCTTAAAGCTCAATTAGGCTCACTCCCTGAGTTCCGTTTCGGACTTCAGACAACTTTTGGGGAACACCATCTTAGTGGCAAGCACCGAGTCCGGTTCGGACTTTTTTTGTCGGCCCATCCACTCAGCAAGCTTCCATTTGGTTAAGACTATTTTTGTTTATTTCCCCTGTTGGTTTTAAAGGGAATCTATCACTACTGGAAGGTTTTATTTTTCCTCCAGGGGACGAGAAAGCAAATGGAGGGAAGTGAGTCTGGGGAAGCCAGGGGTTTGGCGGAGCTCAGGAGGCGCATGCGTGAGCGCGTGGGCCTCGCGGAGCGCGAGCAGACCTTGACCTCCATGGACAAGGCTGCGCGGGTGCTGCACGAGGCGACGGAGAGTGCCAAGGAGCCATGGGAGTCCTCACTTGAGCGCGCTGTTTGCGAACAGAATCTGAGTCTTTGAGTCGCAGTGAGCTGCTGTTTGTGAATGTGAGGTTTTTGTCTTTGAAAGTGTTTCATAGAACGTGTGAAACATGAGAACAAGCTGTTGAAAATGGGTGTATGAACCCGTGGCCATGGTGGACGTGATTTTCCATAATTGAGCCATTACGAACGGTTAATTAACCCACAGAACTGGGGTTCACATGAATGTGAGGCTATTTTATTTGTTTGGTCTTTGTTGAGTGAAAGTGAAATCGTTTCATAGAGCGTGCGAAGGATGCACAAATGATAAAGTCGTTGATGTGAAGGTGAATGTGAGGTGCTTTTGCCGATGTTTGTTTCATAGAACATGTGAACTTGTCTTTGGTTTTTGTTTAACGCAATTTTTGATGTACTGGAGGATGATATTTGAGCGTATCAGTGGTATATCATACATTTGGCGAGAATTGTGGCAACAACACCTGTGTCCGCGTCAATATCACTAGATCCAAGCCATTCAATCTGTGTAGCGCCCTGGCTTAGCATCCTATACTCCAAAGTTTCACTTTGTTTTATTTACGGTTTATAATTGTATGCATCGTCTTTCTTCAGTGGTAGCTGTCCCCAACCAGGGTAACCAACATGAATCTTAATTCAGGGATTTCTACAGGACGTTGGCCAAACCTCCAACAACAACCAGATATTGAATTTCCAGTAGCTGGCGTTTGCGATCGAACTTCAAAAGCCCAGCTTCTTGCACCAGTATGAGGGACAAGCTCGCATGAGCCCCAATTGCGGAGTTTCCCAGTTCCGGAGAAACCTCAACATGTTCAACTGTAGGGCCAAGTGGGTTTCTTGTAGACTTCTAGCCCTAAACCTCCAGTAAAGTGCACCTGAGCCACAATCAAATCCCGGGTAGATGAAGGTTAGTAAGGGACATTCCAACCATAAATGGGCCGCGGGCCGCCTTGGTAACTCTTTACATGATTTTGGGCTGTTTGAACCGATCGGTTTTGATTGTGCCTCACGTCTTTGGGAAATGCCTCACCTGGGTTACTCACATTCGACTCAGGAGGGTGGCCTGGATACGCGCTTGGAGTGGCGGGATGAGATGGACAGGTGGGAGTTCGGACGGTGCATGTGGCATGCGTCACTTGTGGTTTGCAGTGGGCGCGTGGTGGGTTTTGGAGATGAGGGACGCCCCTTTGGAAGCCACCCATGTTTGGCGCCCCTAGTTTGACACATACCCAAATTTTCCCTGTAAAATTGACATGGGAAACTAAGAAAGGAGGTCCCCCCGAAGCAGATTCCTTGGAACTTGTTTTTGCTTTTTCCGGTTCCATGTTCATTTGCAAGGTGGGAGTATCTCCAAGCATATGGGTTCTGATTTGGCATGAGCCCGCATGGCGTTTCAGGCTGGAAACATGTTGCAATGTTTGTAGCGCCACGTTGATGGGAGTCACAAAGTCCAGATTCTTTCAAGCATGGCTTTTCTTGCATGGGGTCAGGTGGCTTGGCCCGGGCAGCCACTCGATAGAGGTGTGGCCTGTTCTTCTTGCCTTCTACAAAGGGGGAGGGGGTCCTTGGTTCACGAAGTTTTGGCATCAGGGGGGGTGGGGGGCAGCTTGGTTGAGCAAGCCTTGTCTCAGGGAGGAGGGGCTTCATTCGGGGAAATGGAGTCATTGGGCGGGATTTCGGCAAAAAATCAGCATTGCAGAACCTGTTCTCCAACCCCTCCGGTTTTTTTCTCCGCCTCCCAAATTAGTCTTTGTGGGCACAAAAGCAGGCTGGGGGCTGCAAAACCAACGGATTCCCAGGACCCATGGTTTGCTTGCTTGCCTTTCAACCCCTCCAAAGAAAGACACTGTGGGCACCAATGCAGGGCGGGTTGGGGGGTGGGTGGGTGGGGTGAAAAACCCATTGGGTTCCCATGATCCATCGTCTGCCAGCCTTTCGGCACAGGCGGGTGAAGCGCTTGATGCTGGAGGCGGACCTGTCGTTGGAGGACACTCTTCAGGAGTTCGACCAGGCAGGGAACCGTTCATCGGGTTCGGATTAAGCTGGTTCCGGCTTTGTGTGCAGAAACTCAGTTCTTCAGTGGCACCAATTATTTTCCCTTTCTTTTGGTGGCTGCCCCACTAAAAATGTTTTTTCCCGAAAAGGGTTCCCTTTTTTAACAGGGTCACTGAACAACTGAGGCAAGGAACCCATGTGTTAGAACCGATTTGGAGCACCCAATCAAGTGACCAGACTTGGCTGGAAGACTATTGTTGCGTGGACAGCGCAGGAGGGCAGGTAGTTCAATCCTCGAAGGAGCGAAACCAGCCCTGGGAAATCCTAAATGAGCCCAACCTCCTGGTTTTGATGGCGAAATGCCCTTTGGACTTTCCTGCACCTCCTACTACAATAAATGCACACGGTCCACGATTGTAAAGGATGCACGCAACATTTCGCATTAGCAAATTCGAAAAAAAATATATCAATATATTCAATCAATGATAAACTCACAGATGTTTTTCCCCACCGACGGCAACTTCTCCGACGGCTCCCCAAAACCATTTTAAGCGGTTTTTGTGGCGGTCCCCATTTGAACGGGGACCGTGGCGTCCCTGGCACCCCAGTACGCCATGAATGAAGATTCGACCGCCCAGATGAGAATTTCCTTTTGGGGGGGGGGGTGATTGGTAAAACACGGAAATGGATTACAGGGGCCTACATAATCGTGGGGTGCTGTTATACCAAATTCAAGGAATGCACCAGGAAATGTCAGGAATCATTTATATAGGCCCTGATATCTAGTTTTCATGGCCAGAGGAGAGCAGTGTCAAACCCTGTGAGGCCCGACTGCGGTGTGAGCAGCTGGATAAGACCTATGCCTGGTTCCAAAAACATGGCAGGCTGGGCTGGATGTGTTTTGTTTGACACAGCTAGTCCACGTCAACGAACCCAGCACGTGCCATTGTTGTTTTTCTTTGGCCATTGCAGGCCTGGGTACAGGGCAAACTTTCACATGAGCTGATGTCAACACAGCCGTGGTTCGTCGGTTGGGTTCTGGCGTTTGGATAGCCCAGTCTCATGGTCATGTGCTCATGCATTGAGGTGATACAGAAAAATACAATGAAGTGGCAATTGTTCACCACATGTTTGTTGCAGCTGCAACACTAGCAGCAGCACTGGCAGCACTGGCAGCACTGGCAGCACACTAGCAGCGGCGGCGGCAGCAGCAGCAGCAGTGGCATTGGTAGTCACAGCAGCAGTCATGGCTTCCACGGTTTTGAAGGATGTAGATCAGACATTGCGAAGCAACAAGCAAATGTTTTAGTTGTTCAGTGGCACCCTTTTGCCTTTTTTTTTGGTCCCCACTAGAAATGGTTTTCCCCAAAAAGGGCTCCCTTTTTCCAGGGTCACCGAACAACTGAGAAGTTGCAAACGTGACAAGAAGCCGATTTGTAAGATGACAGCTTCTTTGCCAGCAGCTGCTTGGCATCCTCCACACAAGGGGTGGGCTCGTTTTATGAATCTTACAGGTGTCCTCTCACATCAAACCAAATCGGATTTCCCAGTCTCAGCCGACACTGGGCCGCAGTTTTAGGTTGGCCTTCTAAAGCTGTGATTGGTTCAATTGTTCATGTAAGTGGGTGAGAGGGCGAGCGGAATTTGCCGCTTGTGCTCGCAACTCAGCCGACTTCGTGAACAACATTTGTAGTCATTTAAACTATTAGGCCAGATTATACATGTGTCTCCGAGCAGGAAAAAGCTTCAAGTGCTTGCGCAAAGCAAAGTGACGCACAACCCAAACGGCACCCAACCGGCCAGGAAAGAAGCCGCCAAGGAACGGGCCATGCCCTCCTTTCTCCGCTTCGACTCTTCGAGGCGCAGAGAAAAGCCATGGTGCCATGCGAGGGTATCCCAAAAATTAGGGCAACGACAAGTCGGTTTTCTTGTGGCGTCTTGTGGTTTGTCTCTTTAACAATAAGAATCGAAGGTTTTGAAAGTTTTTTGTGAAGAAAAAGCTAGAAGACACTCCCTGGTATCCGATGGGCAAGGTCCCAACCCTGTCTAGTCCTCCAGGATGCCTTCTTGGTGTCGTTGAGAATTCAAGGTACTGGCAACCTGGTATGGTCAGGGGAAACCCAAAGGAGTTGTTAAGGCTTAATTCAGTTGTCAATGGGTAAGAGCCCTAGATAGGGCTTGGTTTCGCTTTGGGGGGGAGGCATCGTTGAATTAGAGTTCCAGGAGCCGAGAATGAGGTTCCATGGTTGGTGGCAGGGTAACCAAACCGTGGGAATGCCGACGCGGAAATTCATCAACTTGGTTGATTATGTGATTATGAGTGAAGGATGCCGGATGCAGCACGGGGCACCGTAAAGCGTTTTTGCGTGGTTGTTGTTGGGTAGCATTTTAACATTTTTGCTTATTGTGGTTGAGTGGGAAATCCCCACTTAACTGCTAAACATATTCTTGTTGCGCCTCTTCCAACGTCAACCAAGTTTGTTGGGCGGTGACTGCCAGTCACCAATCCTTTGCAGAGGTTATGCCTCCAGGCCAGCCATGCCGGGCTCCCTCCGGAACCTGCCGCGGGTGCAGCCGAGCTTCACAGGCCTGGTGCCAGAGGCGCCGGAGACGAAGTTGGCGCCAAAACGAGACAACAGGAGGGGCCTGTACAGATCATGGTGGTTCCCAGCCATCTTCTTTTTAGGCTTTTTGGGCCTTTTAGTGTTTAGTGGTAGTTTCCCATTTAACCCACTAAGAGTTAAACTTTTAGCGGGGGATCTGAGGGCAGCCCAGAAAAGGAGGGGCCTGTACAGAGGGTGTTCCGCCACTAACATAGGATTGGTAGGAGGATACCTGGAAGATACATTTCCTCTTCAAGGGACCCTCTGTCAGGTGCCGTGTTAGTGGGAGGGAGCTTGAACGTCCCCTTTTGGGCCAATATTCGAGGGAACATAGACGGGAGCCCTGGGTCACTGGAGGGTCTTAACGAGGTTAGGATTTGTTGCCCAGAGAAGAGCCATAAATAACCTGACCTCCTAGAGATTCCAATGTAGCCCAAACCTTTGAGTTGTGCTGTTCTCATTTGGCAGTATTTTTTACATCCAACCTAGAAAGCATTTCGGACAGGGTGTATTCCTTGCTGAGAAGGAGTAAGATGGGTATCTGGCCCCTGCACAGCAAACTCGCACGAAATGTTGGGATTGATGATTGATGCAGCACTGGCCTCCTGTCCACTAGCGTGGAACTTGACAAAGACAATTTTCGTTTAAGAGGGACCCTTTTGTGCGTGCCATGTCTACAGGAGTTGGAGGAAGTGAGGCTAAGGACAGCCAAGTTGCGTTTGAATGGAAGGAAGGAAGCTATCCGTTTTGGTTTCCCTCCTTCAAAAAGCAAGCACCCCCAAATGTCCTGTTTGATTGGGTGCCAAGCGGTGCCTGGGTGTGCGAAACGGGTCCATGTTTTGGTTGCCTCATTTGGGTATGGGTCAAAATTAAACCACCAGGGGACCGCAGGTTTTGGTCCATGTTTCCACTTGCCAGGGCAAGCCATTTTGGGGTTACCAATCCCCCCCTCCAGGCGCCAGCCAAAAGTGGCTGGATGCCATCGCTCATGCGGCGGTAGCTCGGTAGCTCGGAGCCAGGCCGCAGGGAGGAAGCTGAGGTCATGAGAGCGTCCAGACGCATCGGGGAATTGCTTCGTCTTCCTCAGGGTTGGGCTGTCCACCTGCTGCCAATAATTTTGTGGCCTTCCCGATTGCTTTTGCGAGTTCGGGTGGCTGGCAACAAAGGAAGAAGCATGGGCCAGCTTATGAAGTCAGAAGCTGACGCTTAAGCACGTGGGTGGTTGTCAAGATCAGAGGCTCGTTTTTAGGCTCCTTCGAAAAAGGCAAGCCAACCGTAAACTGTAGGAATCCAGGGTTGCGGATTAATAATTCTCACGGTGTGTTTGGGCATTGTCTCACAAGTGAAGCTCATGTTCGTCTCTGCCAGGCGCAAATGTTTCACTCCAGCTAATGACCGCCTGCAGCTTCGTGCCGAGCGGCCACTCGGCCTTGCGTAGAGCTGCGCCTGAATTCGTTTGCATGTTACATGGGCTTGTCTCCAAATGAGGAACCCCCCCTCCACAAAGGGGCTCCGCAACTCAGAGCCCGAGGGGCAGGTTCTAACTTTTGAGGGACATCCCCACACTTAGCGCGAGGACCGCACAAAACTGTGTTAGTCCGACGAAGGTTTGTCCAGGTTCATGGTGAGCAGTGGCATTCTCCTGGAAACTGGTGAAGTTACAAAATTGTTTTTATGGGTCGTCAAGACTCAGCTTCTCTCCAATTGGTGGTTTGGAGCCCGCTGGCCCATTTACCCTCTACCTGCAGTTCAACTCCCCAAATCGCCAATCCAAGCCACCAAGGGGTTACCTGAAAAATATGGGGATCCCCCAAAATGTGGCGTCTTTCGTTTGGGTTTCCCTTTAGACCAACACCAACAAGGGTACCCTTAGAAAAACACGGACACATACCACACTTTGCTGAGTTGCCCACCCACTAACAAATGTGGAAGTGCACTGGCTCACTTTCCAAGAGGACAGTCTTCCAAAAAAAGGTCTGCACATTCCATGTTTGTTGGTTGGAGGGTAGGCCAACAAGTCGGAGCAAGGCGAAGTCAGCTGTTCTGATGACGGCTAAATTCCGCGAATGATCCGAATCCTTTCGTGGTGATGGGCCAGACCATAGGCGTGTTCTGATTTGCCTGGGAATCGGGGGCAAGCAAATGCTGTATGGAACGCCAGGTGGAAGATGTGAGAGAAATGGCCACAAAACATACCAAAACCAAACCACACCAGGAGCCGTTTCGTGTTAATGTCATCTATGATACGATGTTTGCCAATGCTCGCCATGGTCGAGACATAGTTTATTGGAAGTGCCTTAGCGAATGCTTCGGAGCAGCATGAGGCTTGCAGATTTGGGTGCGAAGCTCCCGTATTGGTAAGCTATCCCTCTTGCCAGCTAAGGTTTTTGCGGCAGATTGAGAATTCTACTATGAAATATCATGGAACATCAGCGCACGAGAGTCCGTGGGAGGAGATTTATGCCCGCGGATTTGTTCCATGCGGATTGAGTTGTTGTTTTTGTTTGATCGCCTTTTGGATTCCATGCCTTTAATTTCAAGGTGGCGTGATCGATGGGTGCTTTGGTGGTTTCTGTTCGTTTCAGGGGTACACGGCGCGGCCGAACAGCAGCAGCAGGAAGCCTGCCAAGGAAGCAGGAATCCTGCTTTTGGCGGCAACGGCGGGCAACAAAAAAGGCAGCACCCGGGGGCATTCACCAGAGGCTGCCTCATTTTCTTCGTTTCTGGACCTTGAAAAGTGGCGGCGTTGCTGGAAAGCAGTGGTACGTTGCATCTGTTTGGCGAGGACACTGAAAAGGCTACATGTCAAAGCCGCCCTGCATCGGGATGCAAGTTCCGCGGGTCTTGGAAAGGAGCCGCATGCGCTGTTCAGTGGCATCCGTCGCCTCCTTTTGGATTTGCCCAAGCTGGTCAATTCCCAGAAAGGCGTCCTTTTGTTCTGTTAGTGGGCAACTGGGAAAATGAGCTTTGTCGACACAGAATGTGTAGCGCTGCTCGATTCCTGGAAGACTCTTGGACGACCAAGGGGTGATTTGGACAGCTGGGATGTTGGGCTGAAAACACACGCAACCACAAATGAGAGATCCATATGAGGATCACATCGACCTTATTGGAAGTTTGGATTTCCAGGGGATACTCCAAGCCAGCGAGTTGACCTGTTTGCTCTTCCGAGGCGAGAGCCTGTGAGGAAACTAGGAGCGGTTCGGAAACATCACTTTGCAATCCCAAGGCAGAATCTGGCTGAGGGAACATTTTGACTTGAAGGGATTGCAGTTAGCAGCTTGCAGGTAGCTATAGCCGCCATGCGAAGCTCAGACGTTTCTACTTTGTTTGAACCGCACTCGGTCCATGAAGTATGGAACGCATGGCTACACACGGCGGGCTTACAATCTCACAATTGAGCAAAGGCATGGCTTGAATGCAGGAGTCTTTCCTTCCGGATTCGTGCTGTTTGGTCCTGTCGCAAGGCACTTGGAAACCAGTTGAGCCGTATTGCCTCCCTCCGGCCCTCGATCGCAATAGACGTGTGTTTTTGTTTTTGTTTTTTAAAGCGGACCGGCCTTGATCAGACAGGCGCACAACGCGAACCACGCGGGCGCCCGGGCCGTGCTCGTGGTGAACACCGAGGACTCCGATCCAAGTCCGAAGCTCTGTCCCTTGGGTTCTGCTTGCATTTGGCCTTTTGTGTCATTTCCGGATTTTGGGTTTTTGGATTAGGAGTGGGAGAGCTTCCATTTTTCAAGCCCAGCTGGCTTGTTGCCTATCATTGTTTTCAATCAGCGAATCAACCTGGCCTATCTCTAATGGGGTGCCCTGACCAATCGAACGGGCGTTTTGGGACCAGCCGAATTAGCTCGCCGAGCTATGCCCCGACAAGCGTGCGCACGTTGCAGTCATATAAACCTGTGTCCATGTGTTGGTCCTTTGTATTCCAGAATGTTTAGATTGGCATAATGTGTCCTTGAATGTGCGTTGTACCTTGATGTGTGTTCCTTGATATGGTCTCCAGCTGGGATTCATTGCATTTTGCACCACTTGGACTTGTCAGCGACAGCCCCAGAGTGTTGAGGCAAGAGGGCTGGGCTGGGGTCGCTAATATATGTATCGAACAACGTCCAGGCACGCAGTTCCGCGTAGTCACATCGGCACATGTTGCAAGGTTGAGCATGATGATATGGGCAGGCGGCCGTGGGCAAAACGCACTTTTCGTATGAAGACAGCATGATTTGGAGCCCTCGCAATTGAGGGCGCCGCACGTTGGTTGAATCAGTCCAGCTGTTTTGCCAGCACATGCCCAAACATGCCCAAGTGATGTCACACAGGAAGCTTCACACGGAGACCGGAATCGGTGCCCATGTACTGACTGGTCCAAAGCAAAGCGACAATTGATTTGCTTTCGCTCCTACCCCTTACATTCACTTCCAGTTGCTTGAGAGTGTTAAAAAAAGCCGTGTTGGTTTTAACGGGAATCAATCACTACTGGAAATATTATTATTTTTTCCCAGATACCTTCAACAAACGGATGTTCAACTCCGTTGCGCCAGGGTTTCCCATTGCCTCCCTCCGATTTTGCTCTCCGCTTCGCAGGAGAGGCTGCGCTGAACTCAGGTGGATGGGGCGGGGTATGAGGAGCTGAGGCAAAGCGCAACAAGCAGGTGTTACAACGGGTCCCATGATGGCTCCTTTCCAAGGGGAGGCCTTTCCAAGGGGAGGCCTTTCCAGGGAGCCGTTCATCGGGTTCTAAGCGGGTTCCAGCTTTGTGCGTAGCAACTCAGTTGTTCGGTGGCACCCTGTCCCCCTTTTTTTTGTGGCTGCCCCACTAAAAAGTGTCTTCCCAAAAAAGGGTTCCCTTTTTTTCCAGGGTTACTGAACAACTGAGTGTCTCCTTTCCAAGGGGGGGGGGGGGTTTCCTTTAGATTCGCGTTTTTGGGATTTTTTCCAGCGTGCATTTCAGGTCAAAGGAAGCTGAGTAGAGCTCATCTCAACTAGGATGTCCTCACTAGCAGGTCACGGCAGCTCCATTTTGAAGGAAGCTGGGGAGCGACTAACCTGGTCCTGTTTTGGAGAACAGGGTCGAGCGATTTCTGTTTTGAATGCAGCTGAGCCAGCGTCACATGAAATTTATGTTCATTGACTTGTCTCGTGCTTCTTGAATGCAAGGCTGGATTGCTCAAATGCAATCCGGAGCATTTTTTCCAGATGGGTGCTTCCTCTAATGCAGTGATGTGCCATGGATCAGGACTTGGGAACCCCCCCCAATGGTTTGAACCCGCAAAGAACCTTTTGGGACATACACTTGATCATAGCCCCTCGGCTCGCAGACACGCCTCGTCCAATGTTCAAGCTTCGGAGCTGAGTGGGCTGCCCTGTGAAACCACTCAAAGCATGAAAGCTTCTGGTGAGCCGACGTGGGAAAACTCATAAATAGATGCGCAAAAAAATGCCGGAGCAAAGCAATCTCGCTTGTAGAGGCTTGCTGCAATGACTAGCGATGTTGCTTGCCAAGCGATGGCATTTGCTTCTTGAAGGCGCTCTGAAGGCGGGAGCGCCAATCAACTTGTGGAAAACACGATGTGACGCGCGCGATAAAAAGCTTGTGGCGCGACTAGGGTCATCTCTGTTCGCCAGATTGCCACCCGCATGGGCCCATGGTCCGAGAATGGATCGTGAAGAGCGGCGTGAAGGCGGTGCATTTCCGGAAGCAGCCGGTGCCGGACAGCAGCGAGCAAAATGTGCTGGGCATGCTGAAGGCCCGGCGCATTGTTGGAAGAACCTGATGTTTGGTTTTCCGCCCTTGAGGCAAACCCCAAAACATGGATATTGAAAACCGAAAAAATGGATATTGAGAACCGGAAAATGGATATTGAAAACCGAAAAGCAAAAAACATGGATATTGCTGGTTGAAAGAAGCTTGCTTGAGTTGCAACGGGTTGTACTAGAAGGGCTTGGCGAAACCCTGGAGGCGGGAGACAGCGTCTACGGGGAGTTTCTGCACATCAGGCGGATGCGGTGGCGGGTGAGTTGCCACCGCGGACCCTCAAATATGTCCCAGTGCTTCCGGTTACCTGTATACTTGGTTACATCCTATATTGGTAACTGGTTGGTAGTTCCCAGAACCACAGAAAAGGCTGCATAATAGAGGGCAGAACCGTGAAACAGAGTGCCGGAACCGTGAAATCGGCGGGTGGAACCGTGAATTGGGAGGCCGGAACCGTGAAAACCGTGAAATTGGAATCTGGTTCCTACTCTTTTGGGAACCGAGCTTGGTTCCAGAAAAATTGGTAACCAGGCGCCAGTTACCTGCTATGCAGGCAACCAGGAAGTGCTGGGTGTCTTTTGGTTTGAAGGCGACCCGGTGAGTAACGCGTGGGGAGTGCAATGGAACTTATATTTCTTGTGTCAATATGGCCACGGGGGATAACCTATGGCGATCCCATTTTGGGGATGAACATCCATTTGCCACCTTTGTTCACCAGGGGTTTCCTGAGTTTTGACCCAAAGCCATATGGTCCGCTTTTCAACTTTTGCAATCCTGGGAGGCCAGGTGGCTTCAGTTCGGAGGGCTTTGCGGTTCCATTGTCATAAGTCATTTCAATTTGGGCGATGCTAGACGCGAAAGGGCGGAAAGGGCGGAAATCAGATTTCTGTGTTTGTTGTTTTCTTCAACTGGATCGCGGAACGATGGCAATTGCTGGACTCAAGCGCCGTCAGTACGCAGTGAGAAAGGCCTCGAGCAAGATATATAGGCATTGCCGCATGGCAGCGTGTCCAAACTAGGGGGCCCTTTTGGAGGGTGCTGTTTCAACATGGAGCCTGGCAGATGACCCAACCATCCTGGAGTTGTTCTCGCCGCAAGTGCCGCTTGCACCACCTCACCAGTTTGAAAGGGACGCGGTTTGCACGTCTTGGAAAAATGGACAACCCAGTTGTATGCATGGCCCCTGTTTCAAGCTTGAGCTCAGTTGTTCAGTGGCACCAATTGTTTTTTCCTTTTCTTTTGGTGTTTGCTCACTAAGAATGGTCTTCCCAAAAAAGGGTTCCCTTTTTTCCCAAAGTCACTGAACAGCTGAGTGAGGTGTGAGCCACGCAAAGGGTTGGTTAGATCTGCCACTCAGGCGAGCTTCTCGCGAAGCCGGCTTCGTGAAAATTGGCCACGTGGAGCAGCAAGGCGGGGCAAGCAATGGCCAACCCTTTTCGTAAAGGAAAGGGGGGGAGAAAAAAGGAGATGAAAGGAACAATAGATCTAGGGGTACCTTCTTTCCCATACTTCTTTCTAAAACCCAAAGCCCTGGGGAAAAGGCCGGTTTTTGAAAAGAACGATGGTTGAAAAGAATGGGGAATCAACCCCTAGAATAGAAAGAAAAACAAGAAGGGAAAAGAACAAAGGAGAGAAGGAGAGGAAAAGGAAAGGAAGAAAGGAGGGGAAAGAGGGAAATGAAGGAAGGACATGGAGGGTTGCTTCTTTGCGCGGCTATTGCTTAGTGCGGCCTTCGTACTGGCCAATAGCGTTGATTTTGTGTTAGTTCAGTATCGATCCTTTTCGGTCCTCGTTTGTCTTCGGTCCTCTCTCCTTTTCTCAATTGAGTTGTGGTGTTGGGGCTTAAGGGTTGCAAAGAGGCAAGGGCTCCTGAAGAAGCAGCAAGCAAATGCAAGTTGGGAGAAGCACATTGGGGAGGTTGGGGGCCCGACTAGAACGAAGGGAAGAGGAAGGGAAAAACGAATGAAGGAAGGAAGGAAGGAAGGAAGGAAGGAAGGAAGGAAGGAAGGCAAGCACCAGCTTTCCCTTCCTCTTTGCTTCCTCTTTCCTTCCTTTTATCCTCCTTCCTCTTCCTTCCTTTTATTCTCCTTCCTCTTCCTTCCTTTCATCCTCCTTCCTCTTCCTTCCTCTTCCTTTCTCCTTCCTCTCCGCCCCTGTTTCGCCTGGCACCTCCTCATTGGAGAACAGGCGGCAGCAAGTGGTTGGTGGCTGGTGCGGTCGGCGGCAACGCTTTGCTCACCAAGCACCCAACTGAGGCGGGGCCGGACATTGTCAGTCTTCAGTGGCCTTCTCTATTTGGCTTGTCCATTAAACAACATTTCTGGTTATGTAATATAGGTGGACGAATTATGGTAATGTGTGATCATTTGTGTTGGGGTGTTTCTTGGAGGATACTCAAGACTGGCAAAGATGACGGGTGAAGTGTTTCCCTTGCAACGAGGGGTTGGCAGGTTGAACACGAAGCTGCGCATTTGCCCAAATGATCCTGGAAAGAACCGGAATGTTGCCGGACATGCAGCTGGAAGGCCATGGCAAAACATGAACTACAAGTTGATAAACATCCGTCTTTCAGATCCTGCTCGTGGCCCATGGCCTCCTTTAAAGGGACAACTGGTCCAGCGAGGGTGGACACCACTAAGTTTCAACGATTGAGAAAAAACGACCCCTGGAAAGAATGCGGGGAGGTAGAGCTAAAAAGTGGACGCAGATTGAACCTCCTCCCTTTGGGGGGCATCCCCCAATAAAGAAAAGTGACCGTGGCCTATTCATACCGCCCACCCGCTAAAAAAGAAAGCCGCGAAGGTGGGTTTCGCCCTCGCAGGCCGCAGAGAACGGCAACGCAGTGGGCTACGCCCTGGATGGAGAGCTGGTGGATGGAGAGCTCCTAGGGAAAGAACTCAGCCACCACAGCCCGGTGGAGAATAACGGTTAGATGGACAATTCCAACCAATTTTTATCTCATTTTGGGTAGCCCACTTTAATAATTACTAGGGGTTTCCATTGTGACACAACTGTCCTGTCCAGGGGCACCTTTTTTTCAAGTTTCAGCTTGTTTCTTGCTTGCTTGCTTGCTTGGCTTGCTTGCTTGCTTGCTTGCTTGCTTGCTTGCTTGCTTGCTTGCTTGCTTGGTAGATGGCCATTCGTAACGTCTTAACGTTAGTCTTTCAGCTTTTCTCCGTGAAACCAAGAAGCAAGCAAAGGAAGAGGTATCGGGTGTAGATTGAATGGCTCGGACAAAAATGGCCATCAGCGACTGTGTCCGCCTTTTGCCATGTTGGCTCAACCCAAAAGCTGGTAAGACATAACTGAACCCTTTTTGGTGGCCAAATAGAATTTTTCCGCGGCCCCAGATGGCAGCTGCCATGATCCGCCTTTCGTGTCTTTTTCTGTGCGCCGAGGGGCTGAAATATTTGGATCTGGGGGCACCCCGGACCGGCACTCAGTCCATGTACGCAGCCTTCCAAATGATGGGGTACAGGGCCCTGCACAGCGGATACAATCAAAGTGTCCGCATTCCTTGGTGTAACTACCTCTTCAACAATGGCAGCTTAGAGCTGGCCTTGTCCAGCCTGAATGGCTTTGACGTGGCCATGGACGAGCCCTTAATGTTGATCTACGAGGAAGTGATGGAGCACTTCCCGGAGTCCAAGTTCATCTTGACCATCTCCGAGCCGGAAAGCTGGCATGACAACTATGTGGAGCTCTATGACGGCATGCGTGACTCACCAGACATGCAGCAGATGTATTTCTTGGAGGACACCTTGCCAGAGAATTTGGCCAATGCTGTGCACCAGTGCAACGCTATGGTATCATGGGGATGTGACTTCAAGAACCCCACCGAAGCATCCAAAGAGACTTGCATCAACAGCTACAAGCAGCACATCGCCCGTGTGCAGCAGGTGATCCCTCCACATCGGCTATTGGTGTACAACTGGTCTGATGGATGCTTTGGTGCATTTTGCTTGGCTGTTAGGACTTTAACTTTTTGCCAACTGATGGGTTTTTCGTATTAAACCCACTAAAAGGTTAGTCACTTTTGGCAGGGCTTCGCAGCAAACAACCGAGGATGGACTGGGCTGTCCCATTTCTTGCAGGCTCCAATTCCTGAAGGTGACTTCCCTCGCGTCGACAGACCTGGGGATGTCTTCATTTCGGATCACAATGTGAGCGCGGAGTCCACGTATTGACATGTAGGCCAATGGCACGATCCATTGCATATAGCGTAAGGATCAAAAAGCCTGATTCGCCTTAGAGCAGAATGTCACATGCCTGCATGTGTCCAAAAATAGCTGTCGTTTGGGGTGGGTGGGGGGGTGCTGGTATATCCATCCGTTTTTGTTGTTTGAAAAGCGCAGTTGTCAGGCCAAGGTAACATGATAATTCCAGGCCGGGCTCACTGTTTTTGCTCACCTCGCGCGTAGGAAGTTGTCTCTCGAAGCTGTGGGGGAATTGCCTTGCTGCAGCCCAACATGTCTAGGTCCCCCAGTAGTGCCCTTTTACCGTAGCAGTTGGTTTGCCAAGCTGCATCGTTGTGGCTTTCTTGGAGTCCAACTTAGGCCTCTCTCCTTTGGCAGACTTCCCGGGGCACCTGAAGACCGAAGGCCGAAGGCCCAACGAAGGGTTGGTTTCACGCCGCATGAACGAAGTCTAGCCTCGCCTGAAAAGGCAGGAGTTCTCTCAGAAGAGTGGACGCCCACAAATAAAAGACACCAGCATAGAACCTGGACAGCAAAAACACTGGCGGAGGATTGCACACCTGCACCTCTAACAGAATCCCCCAAAGAGCGCAGCAAACAGCACTCCTCAGAGAGCACGGCCGTCAAGCTCGGAAAAAAATCGCCCGCACTCCTCCAACGGCACCCCAAATAGCGTCCCAAAACAGCACCTGCGCCGGCACCTGCGCCAGCACCCCAAACTGCATGCCCGCCCGCACCGTCACCAGCCTCAAACAGCCCCAAACAGGAATACCAAAACAGCACCTGCAGCAGCACCCCAAAACACATGCCCCATAGCACCCTACGGTCAATCTTGCAAAACTGCGCCTGGACCGTCACTTCCATGCCCCCTAGCACCCGGCCGTCTATTCGCAAAAATGCCTGCACCGTCACCAGCACCTCAAACAACAACCCAAACAGCACCCCAAAACAGCACCAGCACCACCCTGCCATCAATCTTGCAAACACGTCTTCAGCGCCACAAACAGCTCCGCGAACAGCACACCTTAACAGCCAGCATTTGCACCAGCACCCCAACTGCACGCCCCCTAGCACCCAGTCGCAAATCACTTTCCTCTCTTTAATTGAAGCTAGAACCCCTATAGCTTTCAGCTATCTGGGGAACAAGTGCAGGAACCTCCTCTTGAAAAGTGGTATGTTGTTTCTTGCGTAAGGCGTAATCAGGTGATATGACAACAGATGAGGGGTCAACCAACTACAACCAGTGCCACCGTGCCAATGACTTGTTCAGTTTGGCTTTGAAGTACCGCAAGCCAACATTCTCTAGAGCTCCAACCCAGGCACAATCAATATTGTACATTGTACATGTTTTCTAGGGGTACCTTCCCCATTCTTTCCAGGGATCCTTCTTTCTAGAAAACCTCCGGAATTCCAGGGAAAACGGCCGTTTTTTTTGAAGAAAAAAAACAATGGTTGACAAGAATGGGGAATTAACCCCTAGATGTTTTGGTCGTAGGTTTTTTTATTCGTGCCTTGGTTTCAGCTCCTAAACGCGGGCTTTCCACCCGGCGCTGAGGTTCCTCTTCTGCATGCGCCGGGGTGAGAAGCGGGGGGGCTATGTGAAGGTGAAGCACTTGAAGCCGGTCAAGGCGAGGCTTTAAAGTCTGCTTGCAGGAGCCAACCATTGAGTAACTCAGTTCAAAGCGAATCGACCGGATTTTACATTTTTATTTTCCCTTTTTTGGGTTCCCCTTTTTTGGGGGGTTTCCCTATTTTGGGTTCCCCTGAGTTCATGAACTTTAAACTTTTTGGGACGACCATTTTGGTGGTAGATTTAAAGTTTGGACATTTTTTGGGCCATCCACTCAGCCAGTGAGTTGAGTACTCAGTTGTTCAAAGCGCATCGACCGGATCTGACCTTTTTGTTTTCCCATGTTGGGTTCCCCTATTTTGTTTTGGGTTCCCAAAAGGTTCACCTTGGATTTCTGGGCCCTTTGGGCAGCTGAGGTAAGGTTTGAGGCCTTACGAAGAGAATACCTATTTTCCCAGACATGAAAGTGCACAGACTCCCTCTTGGAAGACTACTCCCAAAATGGCAGTGAAGCCTGAGCACTGCCATTCCGTTCTAGATTGTTTTGAATAGGCGCCCGCCTTGCAAGTGTGTACGTGGTTGTCTTTGTTCATTGGGCTGAGATTGCCTATGGGAAGGTCAATGTGTCAATCTATGAACTATCATTTTTGACGAGTGGCTTGGAGGTGGTTCCCTTGCAACAGAACGAAATAGCACCATGGTAAGCAGTGTCGAGTCTAGCTGCGTTGGCAAGTGGATGTGTCCTGAAATGCATGACTCCTGGGACAAATGCCTGCAAGAAACCTTAAGGGCATCGACTATTGCCACATTTTGGGAGGTTCAATCAAAAAAACGTGAGGTTGTACTTCCGCCCCTCCCCTCCCATCTAAGGTCCTACTTGCGTGCCTCAAACAGACATGCCTCACAATCAGCGATAGCAAAATGAGTAACATGTGGAATGTGCAGCGGTACGTACCCAGAAAACATTCGCATGCATATAGATAGATACGATGTTACATTGCTCCTATGTCAGATATGGTATGTACGTTGTATAACTACACATCAGAACACACACACACAAACACGTACATACATACATACATACATACATACATACATACATACATACATACATACATACATACGTACATCCATGCATGCATACATGCATAATATACATACATACAGAAACACACATACATACAAGCACACATACATACATACATACATACACACATACATACATACATACATACATACATACATACATACATACATACATACATACATACATACATACATACATACATACATACATACATACATACATACATACATACATACATACATACATACATACATACATACATACATACATACATACATACATACATACATACATACATATCATACATACATACATAACATACATATACACATACATACATACATACGTACATACATACATACATACAATGCATGCATGCATACACACACACATACATACACACATGTACACATACACACATACGCATACACGCATACACACATACACATACACACACATACACACATACACGCATACACGCATACACACATACACATACACACATATACATACATACATACATACATACATACATACACGCATACACACATACACATACACACATATACATACATACATACACACATACATACATACATACATACATGCATGCATGCATGCATGCATGCATGCTGATTTGATTACTTACATACCCCGCGCATAACCCCGCATATATGTATATATGTTGATTATCAATATGCATATTCAATGTATATACATACATCATTGGCGTGTGTGTGTGTGTGTGTTTGGTATCGTTGGTGCGTTTTGCTTAGATGTTAGGAGTACCTCTTTGTGCCAACTACTAGGTTTCCCATTAAACCGCTAAAAGTTATTCACTTTTAGCAGGGGAGCAGACAGCCACCGAGGTATGTCCATTTCGAGCATGCGGGGCCTTTCTCAGCCTCTTGAGTTGCGAGGCTCGGCAGCTGCGTGCCGAGCCGCCGGTGGATCAGGAGGAGATGGCACAGCTCGCCGCGGGGCTCAGGCGGAAAGCACGGGGGGCATGTCTCAGTGGTTCAGTGGCACCAACTCTGTTTCCTTTCTTTTTTGTGGCTGCCCCACTAAAAGTGGTCTTTTTCAAGAAGGGCTCCCTTTTTTTCCAGGGTCACTGGTCACTGAACAACTGAGATTTGGGTCGTGGGTTTTTGGAGCCGGGTCGAAAGCCCAAGGGATCCCCTTGGCCGGATGTACATACATTGGATTTTCGCTTGCTTGATTCGCAACGAGATGATGCGAGCCGAGGTTTTCTCAGATGCTTTGAATGTGCTGAGAGGTGTTTTCTAACAGGACTTGCACCTCGAGCCGGGTTCTTTCGGACCTCTGCGATATTTGCTTGCCTGAGTCAAGCAATCCATTTGTGCGCCAATTCGGCATATGGGCCGGAGCTCGTTTGGCTCCCGGTCCATGGGCACGCTCCAAGCGTCTTTCCCAGCCGCTCTCTGGAAGCCTTTTGGCAGAGTGGCATGCCTCCTAGGAGAGAACCAATGAGGTTTTCGGAGCCACCGCGCGGTTTTCCTGATAACTTTCTCTCCAATGATCAGCCCACAGAGGAAACTCATGTTTAAAGAGTCCCAGAGGTGAGGTTCAAACCCACACGAAGCCATTCTAGTTCACCCCACCCCGCACGGGCCAGTGACAGTGTCGAGCCGGCGCTTTCAGGACTGTCCGAGCCCCACTACCCCGACCAAGCAATCCATGCCTTCAGGTCTTTGGTGCATTTTGCCAAGAGATGTTAGGACTAACTTTTTGCCAACTAATGGGTTTTCCCATTCAACCGCTGTAGAACTTTTAGCAGCTACCAGGGCTTGTTCTTGCCACTGGGTCCTTTTTGTGCACCTCAATCACGGCCTCCATGACACAAGCTAGCAAGCAAGCAAGCAAACAAGCAGCTGTCTGGAGTAGGCAACTTGGCTGCCCCCTACAAGAGGATCTGTCAACGACAGCAGCATAGTCACGGGCACCACTAGGCTGTTGCTTTAACTAGCGACGTTCGATTGCTTTCGGGCCATGCCCTGCTTGTTGGCGACGCCGGTTCTCCACATGTCTGAAAATCAGGTTTCCTCAATGTTTGGTTTCACTTGCCAAGTGGTTGCCAGGATTCGCCTTACATAGCATGCTACAACCTGCTCAAGGCACTTTCTACTTGGGCTCATTCTACCTTTTGCAATCCCATTTTTTGTTGTAAACATCCCGTTCAGACCTTCAAGCATTCCGTTAACATTAAGCACTCGGGCACGTCATCCAAATGGGTATGTGTCAAAATCGGGGACTTTCCAGGCGGTTGGTGTCCACTTTAAATCAATCCCCCCCCCAAAACAAAAGGGTACCCTCAAAACCAGCCCCACAAAAAGGTACCATTGGCTCAGTTGTTCAGTGGCACCAATTCTTTTTCCCTTCTTGTTGGTGGCTGCCCCACTAAAAATGGTCCAAGCCCCAAAAAGGGCTCCCTTTTTTTTCAGGGTCACTGAACAACTGAGTTGAACAAAAAACGCATTCCGTTGCAACCAACCCGTACCCACTCCCCGATCCCTTCGCCAGGGCGCCCTCTGTGCAGCGCTGGGCTGTGATGGACCCTGGCCATGACGGTGCGTGGCTGCGCCGGGAGCCCTCCAGTGCCTCGGACCAGTGTGCGGGCGAGCGCGGCGTTTTTTTTTACAGAGGCGTCTCATGTGGCCGTGGGTCAAAAAACTTGTACCTAAAACGGGTTGCCCTGGTCCATGGAACCAGGGGCTAAAACCTGCGGTCCATAGCCTGGCGGCTGAATTTTGACCCGCAGCCATGTGTTGTTTCAGGGAAATGGTGGTGGGGCATCCGAAACTAGCTGTCCAGTATGAGATGCAATCATCTCACCCCCGCAAGTGTTGATATGTCGTTAATCTCATGCTTGCGCGTTTTGCAGGTTCAGGGCTTTCCCGAATATTGACCAACATCACGGATATGCGATTTGGGCTTGGGGGGTTGGCAAGAGATGCGGTGGAAGAGGTGAAATGCTTGGTTTGGGGGCTCTTGGGCTACTCCCCAGGCCATGAGAGAATGCAAGAAGCAACTTGAAATCGTGCGCAGGTCGTGTCCCCCTTTCAGTGTGCGTCAAGCGGGTAACAAACTATTTTGGTGTGTTTGATGTTGTGAAAGTTCTGACTTGGGGGTCCAACCCCTGGTTTTGGGGGGGAAGTCCAAATAGCGAAAACCCGGCTTGTGGGCGTCCTTGACAAAATGAAGTTTAACTTTACCTGCAAGATGGCTTCATTTGGATGAGTATCTTCATGAATCAACACAACAACAAACACGTTCCTGTGACTCGCAGAAGCTATCCAACATCCAGCTGTGTTGACGGCTTCGCCTGGCAAGTTTGCAAGATGCAACCTCGAGGACCCGCAGAAGGGTAACATGTGAATATTTGCATGATTGCACATCTACGTCTTGCTGAGGCAGCCGGAGCCCGGAGAACGTTGTGTGCCTAGTGCCCAATGGTGCAGTGGTGGAGGGCGAGTTCTTGCAAGTTCATGGGCCGCACGTGGGCTGCGTGCTCTTCAAAGATGTGGAGCAGCAGGCCTGTCGAAGCAGCTCCAGGATTGTTTCCTCGCCAGCCTCAAAGCACGTGGAATGCACAGAACACATACGGCCAAGTTGTTTTCTAGAACGTTGGTCAACCTCACGGCGACCTAAGTGGCTTCAGTTGCAGGGAGGAAGATGCATCTCAAACCGGCACCTTTGATTTGTATACTAAACAAATCTCTTGAGCCAGACCTTGCGCGCATCACTTCAGCACAATGAGTGTTTGCTGTTGTTTTTAGAACAAACGCTCAGTTGGGGAGTTGTCGAGGTTCATGACAGTCTCACATTTCGCAAGCCTCAATGTCTAAATAGATCTCCCATAGTTAAACAGTTGATCATTGCCCATTTTTTCAGCGTCAGATTCATCCACATCGAGGAGAGACCATGTTGCGAAGGCAAAGTTGAGGTAGCCCAGTTACAGTGCGGCGTTGCTTCCTGACACCTTGCGTATAGGCCTCTTATGGCCTGAGTAGGGGAGTGTAGATGTTTTGCTTTTTTTGGAGGCGGCTGTATAATGCACAACCTCCTGATTCAATCAATTGCGCAGGTTTGTCCTTTTAGTGGGACTCCTCGATGTTTGCAGGCAACACCCAGCGTTTTCCATGTGGCAAGATGAACAAGCTGATGCCAACCTCACCCAGAGCTAGACTCAAAACCACGCTCATAACATTGTTTGTGCTGGAAGTGACCTTCTTTAGGTGACCCCAATTTCTAGTTCCACGTGAATTTGCCGGGGAGTAGGTGATCCATGTTCCTCACTTGCAAAATTCCTGGACTTGAGCAGCTTTTGGGGAAGCCCAGTTGCTCCAGTGCTGCCCGGTGTTCCGTTTTGTTTGGGAAGGTTACATTATAAAATCGGATGCCCTTTTTTCCCGTGGAGCTCCACGGGGCATGTGAGTGGATCCACCACTGGTCCGAACGCTCAGGGCCCCAAGGCCTGGCGCGTGCTGCGCGCCACGCGGCTGCGATCCTCCCTGGGCGACAAAGAGCTGGGCGCCGGGGAGATGCTGGAAGGCGGCCAGCCGGTCATTGGTCCCCCAGCTAGGTGCCCTTTGACCGTTTCTGTTTTGGTTGGGAAGGTTCGGGACGCTACTAAAATAGACTACCGAAACAGGGGTACTCAAAAATATATATTCCCCAGTAGTTCTGTGACCAACTTTTTTGGGGGAGGGTTCCCCTAAGATAGACTACAGAAAAAAGTTGGTACCCTTATTCTAAACTCTCTACTGGAGGACCTAGTTGGGTAGCGCGCAGGGTGGCTTTAGTTTGGGAAATGTATTTGTGTCCCCCTGCTTTTGAAGATGTTTGTTTTTTTGTTCCCGCACTGCTTGACTTCCGTTTTGAGGCTTAATCATCATCACTGGTTGGCGGTTGCCGATGTGCTCGCCCAGCTTGACTCGTTCGAACGCGCAAAGCAATTCTGCCTCAAGCCAGGGTTCTTGCTCGGATAGTATTCAAGTGATTTGGGAGCTCGCTTTTCGCCCATGACGAGCCCCACAAAGATGAAGCATGCCAAGACCCACAAGCCCTCCATGCTGGAGTTTATGGGCCTGGCGGGGAACTTCAGCCACCTGAACCTCAAAGACCCCTTTCACGTGAAGAAGAGAGGCTCCACTTATCAGACCGAGGTGCGAGCAGGCGTTACCACCTTTTTGGCAATGGCCTACATTCTTCCTGTGAACAGTGGCATGCTGAGCTTAGTGATCCCCAACATGCGGCAGCAGCTGGTTTGTGCCACGGCGTTGGCATCCTTCCTGGGCTGTTGGTTCATGGGCATTCTGTCCAACTACCCATTCATGCTTGCGCCGGGGATGGGCACCAATGCTTTCTTCACCTTCAGCGTGTGCATGGGTATGGGCCTGACCTACGAAGAAGCCTTTGCAGCCGTCTTCTGTGCCGGCTTGATTTTCATGATGCTTAGTATCACAGGTCTCCGCACCTTGATGATTCGGCTCTTCCCGGAGGGAATCAAGGAGAGCATCGGCGCGGGGGTGGGCCTCTTCCTTTGCTTCATCGCCTACCAGAGCTCCGAGGGTATGGGCATCAGCGTGGCGGATAAGGCCACGCTGGTCACGCTGAACCTGGGGCTGGAGAAAAATAGTTCCATGTCAACGGTTTCGGACTGAGTTTGGACCAGTAGAGGCGAACAGTTCACGGTTTCGGATTCAGTTTGAAGCACTTTCCACCCAAGGAACTCGCTGGGCTCCTCCAACTACGACTCCTCGAAGCTGTGGCTCAGCCTGGCGGTGCTGATTCTGACCGCCACGCTCTTCGCCGCCAAAGTGCCGGGGGCGCCGCTGGTGGGCATCATCTTTGGCACCCTGGTAACCTGGGTCGAGGGCTGGTGTCGCGGCGTGGAGGGCTCGATGCTGGGATATCCCTTTGGAACGGACGGCGACACTCAGTTGTTCAGTGGCTCCCTTTTTCTTTTTTTTTGGTGGCTGCCCCACTTTTTTAAAATGGTCTTCCCAAAAAAGGGTTCCCTTTTTTTCCAGGGTCACTGAACAACTGAGGACAGGTCGCTGGAAGATTTCCACATCTATGTGCCCACAGGTCTCCTGGCGACCCCCACCTTGGAGGGCCTTTCGGGAGCTCTCTGGAGCGGCTTTTCCGCCGCCACCAACGAGAAGGCCGCGACCTTCTGGGGTGCAGCTCGGTTCAGTGGCACCTTTTTTTTTGGTGGCTGGTTCACTCCAAATGGTCTAAGCCCCAAAAAGGGGAACCCCCCCTTTTCCCCAGGGTCACTGAAGAACTGAGGGTGTGATTCAAATACAGCCACGCCGAATGGCTACGTGGGGGAGAGAACCCCCCAGTTGCCCAGTGCTGTTTTTTGTGGGAAGGGTCACTGAACTGAGGCAGTGCTCACCTTTTGCTACACGGATCTGCTGGACTCTTCCGGCACCTTCTTCGCTGTGGCGAAGGTCGCCGGGCTCACGGACAGCCGAGGCAACTTGCCCCTGGCGCGGCAGAACATGGCGTACCTGGCCGATGCCATCGCCGCCTTGTGCGGATCCATGCTTCTTCCCCAGAATCAAGGAATGGTTTCAAAAACAAGCCCAAGCAAGGGTTTTGCCAACCGCGCAACCACCAAACCAGCAAAAAGCATCTTCCCCAGAATTAGTTCCCCTTTTTCCTTTTTGGCTTTTTTGGGGTCAGGGGTGCCCTTTGTTTTCCACTCACCAGGCAAAAAAGATAATTCTTTGCTGGGGTCCCAATTCCAGCCTAGGCTCGGGGTGTCCACGGTGGCCACCTTTGCGGAGAGTACCGCAGGGGTGGCGGATGGCGCCAAGACAGGCGGCCAACTGGGTACATGGTCGGCACCACTTGTGTTGCGACAAACGGTGGGTGAAAAATCTGGTAACCCCAAAATGGTTTCCCTGGTAAATGGAGACATGGATTAAACCTGGAAACCCATGGTTTAATTTTGATTTACGGCCATATCCCTTTGGCTTTCCTTTAAAGAGAAGAGCCAGCGTCGGTTTTTTAGCAAACGTTGCAACCAAGCCTAGAGGCTTGGCCACCTTGGTGACGGGCGTGTGCTTCTTGTTCGCCATCCCCTTTGCTCCGGTGGTGTCGGCCGTGCCGCCCTTGGCCTCTGGGCCCATCCTTTGCTTGCTGGGAGCCCTGATGTGCAGCGCCGTCATGGGCATCCCCTGGCATGACTACGAGGAGTCCATGCCGGCTTTTGTGGCCATGGTCACCATGCCCTTCACCTTCAGCATCGGCTACGGCATCATCTTCGGGCTGCTCTTGTGGGTAGCCATCCAGCTCATGTTGGTGCCTCTCCGACTTTTCAGGAAGCAGAACCCCTTTGTCAAGTTCCAAGAACTCTGGGCGGGAGTCTTTGTGGAGGGCTTGGAGGAGGAGCAAAGCGAGGCAGAGCTCGATACGGATGTGGGCTCCTTCGAAGGCACCGAAGGCAGCGAGGCCAGCCTGGCATGAATCAAGGGCGATTTTTTGTGTGTACACTTCTGCAGGCCTGCAGGTTAACATTCAGCACCCGAAACATGTGAGAGATTAGCTAGAGACGCAGATCAAAATCAACGTGTAGATGCATGAGCATGGGTTCATATGCGTGTATATTATATTTGTCATAGATGTTTACGCGGACGATTGCATTGGTGTATTTAGCCTGTATTTACTTTTTTAGAGGAGTATCCTTTTGCAAATAGGGACCCTTTTTGTGGGTTTCATGTATGTCAACTTGCAGGGGAGCAGCCCTGAGGGTGTACTTGCTTGCTTCGATTTACGGTACGTTTCCCTTGCTGGGAAGTCATACAGCTTGGGCGATATATCCATTGGTTTGTTTGTGTCTGGTGTACGTGTTACATCCTCAGGGGTACACGGCATTGAAGCAGCCCCGCTCTCATTTCGGGGGAATTAGATTTTCCCATGCCTGAGCACAGCGAGTGGAGCTAGCTGTAGCCAAGCCGCGCTTTGACGGCTGTATGACATTTGACAGCCAAGTTTTGGCCCAAATTGCTTCTGGCTTGAAATGTATCAGAAGCATACTCTCGTTGCAGCAATCATGAAGGTGGACGGGTGGCTGCCGAAGAAAGAAAGGAGTCTTCCAAAACCCTCCTGTCCCCTTTCATGGTTGTTGAATGGACGACACAAAAGGAGTCGAATTTGTGTGGCTCGAAGGTTCTGGCAGGATGTGGAAGTCTTACATGGCTCTGACTTGCAGCAAAAGACTGCATGCTCGCATCGGGCCAATCGAATTTGGGATTCAGGCGGTGGTGTTTGTAGAACCCAGCCCTATTGAGCATGTTTTGTCCCAAGTTACATAAGCATTTTCAGCTTAATATCGCTCGGCAAGCTCAGTGCACCGAGCAGTCGAACATCTGGAGTGCTGTGCGGGTCCAGAAAAAAAAGCGCTCAGCTAGTTTGGCTTGATTTGTTTTGCTTGGAACAACATGGGCATGTCACTTCCGAGCGCCCTGTTTCCAGATAGGCGTTTGCTTTGTGCGAGGCGACAGCGCTCCATGTTTGCCCTTGCCAGGTGAGTATGTCTTTGTCACTTACCTCAAGCGAGGCAAGCATCAGGCTGGGGCGGCTGAGCGCTCAGCCAGTCAGTCCGACGGCGCTTCGCGCGAACGCTGCGCTGTCCGTGTGCCACAGGGTGTTTGGTTCAGTAAACTTGGATGGGGCCTGAAGGGGTCCGTCTGATTCGCTTTTGGACGTTCCAGAAGTGACAACGTGTTCATTGGAACTCGCCAGTGAATTGAAACATGTGAGATTGAAAACATCCAGTGACTCCTGTCAATTGAAATCCTCTTTCATTGACATGGATAATGCCATGATAGTGCCAGCTTTGAGTTTGGTTCCATTTTAGAAAGGCAAACGGCAAGGTGAGGTTATGATCCGATTTGCGAGTAGTTTATGGCAGGTTGGTGCGGCAAAGGCGGTTTGTAACCAAGCTCAGTATTTCTGTCCATGCCCATTTTTACGCGTAACAATGGTGTTGGACTGTGGCTCAAGTAGCCCAGATCTTCTAATTTCGCATGTCTAATTCATCTCGACCAGATGTTGAATTTCGATCTGGGAATTCCATGTTTACACTAAACTGGCCCGTGTTGGCTTTTTGAACCACCCCTTACGCTGAGCTCAAAGACCCTAAACGGGCTCCGGCTGCGCGAAAGGACCACCATGTTTGTAGCATCCAAATGAACCCACTTGTCAACTCCAAATGAACCCACTTGTTAACTCCAAATTAACCCTTCAAAATGGAATTGGGGAGGGGGGGTGACCGGGTGACCCCTGCAGATCTCCATGTGATGTATAGTTCCATCCCTGTCATGGGGACAGAAATGGACTCGGGGACTTCCTACCCCCCCCCCCCCTTGTAGGGGCCAGTTCGGGGGGATGGAGCCTCTGAAGCTGCCGGTCAGGGCTTCATTAAGCGTCACTACTTGGTCGCCATGGCGGGAAACACCGCTGATGGAGCCTCATCCCCGCCGGTGAAGCGGCGGAAGACCTGAGAGGGTTGTGGGAATTTGAAATCTCTACAAACATGTGGTGTTTTGTTTTACATGTTAGAATTCGCCAAGTAAGGACCATGCTTGAACATCTTTGACGGGCAACAAGCCACCAAGCACGGAAGGTATTGAAAGATATCCTGTTTGGTTTGGGGAAAAAGCCGAGAGAAAGAGCCGCAATCAGTTTCTGGAAGGTTAGGGGGACAACCTTGCCACAAACAGGAGCCAGCTTCTCCCTTGGAATGATGGAAGGCCTTTCGATAGCTGAGGGCAATTCCCACTGCCTGAGACCGGAGGTGAAAGGCGGCACTTGCGTGCAATTCTCGGTTCCAAAAATTTGAATCCATTCAAGTAAGCATGTTCGTTGGGGGGCTTTATCCATGACAGGAAACGACCAGCCTTGGGTTGATGCCATGTTTGAAGGAGACGATGCCATGATGCCTTTGCGGGCTTTCCGGCTCACCACGTGCTACGTAAGATCGGGGCTGGTTGATTGAGGTCAGCCCTCCTTTCAAGATTTTAGCATTGCATGCAGCGGGAACAAGCGCAGGCGCACAATCGGGGTTGCACGAAGTAGGTGATGCTTCGATTAGAGGCCAAAGATGCCAGCGGAGACGAAAAAGGCGGCTTGCTGGACATTGCGCAACTCTGTGTGGCTTCCCAAAGGTAATTAGACTTGTTTCAAACTGGTGGGTCAACCATGCGATAAGTCATGTCATGGACACATGTCACGTTTTAATCTCATTAGGAAGCAGCTGCCATGCTAAAGAACTAGGATATACAATCAAGATGTTTCAATCTACAAAGAAAGCAACTAATTATGATATATGCAAATAGTGCGACAAATACTATGAAGGCAATGTAAACATGAAGTCAGATTAATGAGTTATGACGGGAGTCATCCAGGCAATTCCAGGCAAGCGTCGCCCTTGCACTTCCTTGAGAACTTGGGGCCGGTGACATCAGTCAGAACTCACCTCCTTACAAGAAGCAACCCTTTGGATGGCTAGGCTTTGGGCAAGAGTTTGGATTCGGATGTTGTTTTGTTTTTGGGTTTTGGTACCCTGTCTGACTTTGGTTCAGAAGGAGACCTAAGGGAAACCACTCACTTTTGGGTCCCCCCATTTTGACACATACCCGTGTGGGCATATGCCTCCAGACCCGAGCAAGTGGATGAGTTGGAACTCCTTAGACAGGACCTAGGAGTGTTGGTTGGAGGGGGACGCCTTGCGTAAAGGTTCTTGATGGCATGTAGGTCCCCCAGTAGTGTCCTTTTTACTTTTTTTTGGGGAGTGTTCCCCTATTAATAGACTACAGAAAAGAAGGGTACCCTTGTTCTAACATCTACTGGAAGACCTAGGCATAGCTTTTTTTTCTGATGGCGCCTGGCTTGCAGCCAAGCCCCAAAGGTTTTCAACTTCATCGTGTGCAATGCTTTTGTAACATTATTTTGGACGAGCTGGAAAGGACTCGCTAAGGGGGCCTTGCAATCAGCATGCACAAGTGAGTATCGTAGATACTCTTTAGACCCTCCTTGTTTACCCGCTTGCGTTTTGCATACTGCATAGGTACTCCTAAGCTCTCCATCATCCCAGTTGCATATCCTTTTCTTTGGTGCATGTTGCTTGGATGTTAGGACTAACTTTTTGCCAACCAATGCGTTTTCCGTATTAAACCACCAAGACTTAGTCGCTCTTAGCAGGGCTTCGCAGGAAGCAACCGATTTTCTCCGTGCCTACCCCGGAGCCCTTGCATACCTCTACTGCTTTTCCGTGAGCGAGCAAGGCCTACAGGCCGCGTGGGAGTGGCCACCTTGTGGGGAGAGCTCCGCCGGTGGGCCTAGACGCAACGTCGGGGCCCAGCGCCGTGGCTCTGGTTGCTTGAATCCAATCGCTTGCAAACTAGTGAGGTAAGGAGCTATGAACATAGGTGTCCATTTTGGTTGATTTGGTTGAAAAATCGAGGGCCCTGGTTTATCTGGTGGCTTCTATTTTCCCAAAAAGGACACCTATGGCTATAAAATCGTTGAGGAACATGACAATCCTAAGCTCCTCACATTTTCTCACTTCAGTTTGAAGGTTGGTTTTTCTCCGCCAACAAGTCGCACGGCGTTGGAGGGATGCCAAACGCGAAACTCACTTTTGCAGGGGCTCCGATCGAGCAGCGTCTAGAAACTCCATGTACATGTTTAACGAGAGTCGCGCCATATCAACCGGTATCGATATGCCATTGGCAAAAAAATCAGGACACGTCCTGGACATGGCTCAACGCCTGCACGGGCGTATCCCAAACAGGATGCCGATATAGATTGGTATTCGTTTGGCCGCCCTGAAGCGCCATCCCCCCGACATACTGGGATGCATTCTAGATTTGTTCGGGGGCTCTAGCGCGTGCCGAGGCGAAAGTGCCATCTGCGGTTGAGGTCTTGAAGCGCAATTGTACTCTGCTGGATTGCGATCAGGTTGCCTGAGCTGTTCTGAACTAATGAGGCATATCCATGCCCGGCGTTTTTTGTTCCGCAGCAAGTTTAGAATTACTTTGCCACCAACATGCAACCTCATAGGTTTTCTCGCAGACACCCCTCTCGCCTTGCCCATACAAAAAGCGCCTCACGATGCGGACTGGTCCCTCCCCGTATTGGGCAAAGTCGATTTAATTGACCGCCTCAACGCGCGAACAGGAACTGAAGTGAGAAGATGTGAGAAGGTTAGGATCGTCATGTTGCTCACCCATTTTATAACTCTTTACCCCACTAGATTGCAAAGCATTTGAAGCATCCACATCCGACACTTGCAGGAAGATTGAGCATGTGCTCTTCACGAGCAGCATAAGTATCGGGGCTTATGCGGGGCCGTGTGGCTGTTAGCCGAGCTGCTCTCACATGTGACAAGCCCATTGGTTTAGATCTGTGTCCAAGGCCCTGGCTGAAGGCAGGCTGGGGGAAGCCTGAGCCATTTTCCAGTGTTCAGAAATGGATTCTCAGGGTTCCATATGGCCGTGGTGGTCAAAACCCATGGGATCCCATTTTGGGGTTTTCGGTGCACCACCCATTTTAGAACCTATTTTAGTGGGCTTCACTGGGACGGGATTTTGACCCATGGCCATATTTTTAGGAAGGGCTCACTTTGGGTGCGCTACACCAGCTGAGGCATTGCGTGCAGCACTCGCAGCTGCAGCTTTCCCAGCGTGCCAGCACGGAGCCCCAACCCAGCGGACCAAGAAGGCCCTAGCGGAGCGGAGGCTCTGGGTGAATTATAACGACCTCACACGAGCGAATTCACCCCAAATGGTGGTTTGTGGCGGTTTGTGGTGGTTTATGGTGGTTTATGGTAGTCTATGGTGGTTTATGGCTTATGGTGGTTTATGGTGGCTTATGGTGGCTTATGGTGGCTTATGGTGTCTTATGGTGGCTTATGGTGGTTTACGGTGGTTGAGGGTGGCTTATGGTGGCTTATGGTGGTTTATGGTGGTTTATGGTGGCTTATGGTGGCTTCTGGTGGCTTATGGTGCCTTATGGTGGTTTATGGTGGCTTATGGTGGTTTATGGTGGCTTATGGTGGCTTATGGTGGCTTATGGTGGCTTATGGTGGTTTATGGTGGCTTATGGTGGTTTACGGTGGTTGAGGGTGGCTTATGGTGGCTTATGGTGGCTTATGGTGGTTTATGGTGGTGGTTTATGGTGGCTTATGGTGGCTTATGGTGGCTTATGGTGGTTTATGGTGATTTATGGCGGTTTATGGTGGTTTATGGTGGCTTATGGTGGTTTGTGGTGGCTTAATTATGGTGGTTTATGGTGGCTTATGGTGGCTTATGGTGGCTTACGGTGGTTTACGGTGGCTTATGGTGGTTTACGGTGGTTGAGGGTGGCTTATTGGTGGTTTATGGTGGTTTATGGTGGTTTATGGTGGCTTATGGTGGCTTATGGTGGCTTATGGTGGTTTATGGTGGCTTATGGTGGCTTATGGTGGCTTATGGTGGTTTATGGTGGTTTATGGTGGCTTATGGTGGCTTCTGGTGGCTTATGGTGGCTTATGGTGGCTTATGGTGGTTTATGGTGGTTTATGGTGGCTTATGGTGGTTTGTGGTGGCTTAATTATGGTGGTTTACGGTGGTTCATGGTGGCTTATGGTGGCTTACGGTGGTTTATGGTAGCTTATGTTGGTTTGTGGTGGTTGATGGTGGTTTATGGTAGCTTATGGTGGTTTATGGTGGCTTACGGTGGTTTACGGTAGTTTATGGTGGTTTACGGTGGTTTATGCTGGCTTATGCTGGCTTATGGTTGTTTATGGTGGCTTATGGTTGTTTATGTGGGTTGGAGCTTTAGACTTTAACTGTTTGGTTGAAATGAATGGGGTGTCCACTAGTCCACAAGAAGTGATCAACTTTTTGCAGAGGGGTCAACAGCGACAAAGCTATGTTGAAGCAAATACCTGGGTCCCCAGGCGAAACGTTATCGCCTGTACAGGCACCCTACGCGCTCACCTTTACACACGCTAATTGACCCCGAAGTCTTGTAAAACACAAGGACCTCAACCCACCTAACCCAACCCCACACACACCCACAGACCAAACTTATACCCACCCCAAACCCCGCCCCTCAGCCGCAAACCGCCCAACATGAATCCGAAACTGTTTCCTTACACCCTCCCTTACCCTAAATTAATCCCCTTAACCTGCCCCAAGCCCGCCCCGACCCCCACCCCAAAGCAGCCCTACAACCCACCCTTTTCCAACCCTCACACAGCAACGCGCACAGACGCAGACACATGCGCACACAATTGCTGAAAGATGCTGCAACATACAGCGGACCTGCCCTCCAGCGCAAAAACGATTTCAAGAAACAAACACAAATCACATGTTTGCTCTTTTTGTTTTCTTTTCCGGCACCCTTTTCCTTCGCTTGAACTAGTAGCTGGTATTACTTTCAAGCCAGTGGCTGCCCCTCAATGTCGAACAACAACTTATACCTTTTGCTTTGCCTTGTGAGGTCTTGCTTCTCAACAAGACGGACGGTGAGCAGCTAGTCAAGCCTGGGCCCTGAAGCAGGCAACATCCGGACTTACACGGAGAAGTTAGTACTCAGCCCCTTTTGGTTGGAAATCAGGCAGGTGGATCACTCAGCCTTCATCCTTTACATGTGGATTGGTTTGGTCCCTTATAGGGGACGCCTTCCTGGCGTTGGTTTGTTGGCTGTGTAAGAAAGGTGACGTGAGGAAACCAAACATGAATGCTAGGATGTGTAGCTTAGCCCAAAATGTTTCTCAAAGGGCTGTGTATCAATTTCTGCGGGCAGCATTGGAGTGGCTTATCACTGTCAAGGCACTCCTGCACGGTAACCGGACCAGACAAGTTTGGGTTCAGGAGAGTGGCCATCAAGCGTTCAAAAAAAATGTCAGGTTCCCAACACTGCACCAGTAACATTCTGAAGGCTTTGGCCTCCCACATGGGTCATGTGTAGCGACCTCATGGCCCGCTGACAAGGGCTGGCCATCCCCCGATTTGGTTGCACCAAAAGCTCTTCACGTGGGATGGATGTCCCATGCAGCCAGCGTCGATGTTGCCTCAGTGATTCAATCCTCATCCCGGCGCATTAAATGTGTAGCTGTGAAACGCTCGGCATTCTATAGTTGAGCTGCTTGTGCAAGGTCAGGTTTGAGTCATGGTCGGCATGAAGCATGGCATTTAGGCGATTGGAAGGAGCCAGCCCGCTTGCTTGACGCCGGGCTTTGGACACATGTGACTCCAGTTGTGGGCATCCAAGCGTTACCAACCCACTCCGCCCACCGCGTCGGCTGAAGATGCCCGCGTCATTCCAATGTGTGGTTGAGCTTTTCCCCCAGTAGGTTTAGGCAAGGAAGCCAAGGCACAGCCGGCCATTTCGGCTGTCGCAATTCCAGGTACTGCGTGAGGGGCCGTGGGGGCGCCTAGGGTTCCGCAGGGCTCGTGGCTTTTCCGTTGTTCGGCTTTAAAGCAGCCCCAAAAGGGAAACCGCAAAGTTATTGCCCGAGGCACGTAGAGTGCCAGTTAGCCAAAGGTTGCTCTTTGTTTTGGTCAAAGGAACAGCTGGTCGACAGCTGCACTACCACGAGAGACTTTACAAAACACTTCCAATCCTAAGAGTTTGATTGACGTTTGATTTGCTTGCTCCACTAGTGGACGGATGTATGGTCATGAGGGTTGGCTGACAGCTAGCGGTATGGCAGTGCGATCATTGCTTCTTTCACTCCGTCGTGCGGGGCGGACACACTGCCGCCATTGTCCCTGTACTTTGTTCCTTGTGCTGAAACAGGTTGGCGATGATTGGTTGGCCGTTGCTGTAAGGAGTCATGATTGGCAATTGACGCTGCGTTGTGATGTTGAAGGTTCTCAAAGTTGCTACGCTATCACGCATAGCTGTGCGTAGCTTTGCCTTGCCACACGTGAGGCATAACCGGCCGACAATGTTAGCTTTTCTCAACATGGCAAGGTTGTTGATATTGGCGAGGTTACACATTAGCGACGCTGGTCGTTTGGCAAAGGATGTGCTCTCTAGGTTTTGATGGTTTTGTGTGGAACAGTGCCGTGGCTAATTAACCAGGGTGGACTGTTGGATTATGAGCCTTGTGTTAGAGGGTGCAGGTGTTGGGTTCTAGGTTCTCATTGTCAATTGAGTCAGGTATTGAGCGGGAAGCCTCCTTGTTTGAGTCAACAGTTACGTAGTCATTGTCACAGCTGCTTTTGGGGCAATTCTTGGAAGAGGGTCTAAGCAACCTTGCATTTTGCACCTAATGCACACCCCGCATTCACAACCTTCTAAGTTGATTGATTGGATGGGCCTGTGACATTGTTGGACTCGAGTAAGTTTTCTAAAGACTCCCTTGACTCCCTTGACCAAAAAGCGCTCGCCAGGTTCAATTAAAGCATGCTCCCCCCCCCCCCCCGAGCCCCCAGCATGGAACTTACCACAGGTTCCAGACCCCCCTTCTAGATTCCATGTCAACACTGGGAGCATGTCCACGAGGCTCCACCGCGCAGCATTTGCTTCCCCAAGCTTCGCTCGTTCGCTCGTCTAAACGCCCGCCATGTTCCGCGCTGTGCTCCTTGGTCAGTGGCTGGCAGCAGCGGCGCTCACGCCAGGCCGGCCTTGGGCAGAGAGCTGGCAACGGGTCGGCCGAAGCGCCCTGCGACCTTGGAGCGCCCTTTTTTGTTGTTTTTTTTTTGGTGGTGAATGGGGCATCAAAGCCATCTAAACCAGTGGAACCCATCGATTTGCAACCAAACTAACCCAAGAAGGACACCCATGGACCCAAGGTCCCCTAGTAGTGCCCTTTTGCCCTTTTGGGGAGGGTTCCCCTACCAAAATAGACTACAGAAAAAAGGGTGCCCTTATTCTACCTCTCTACTGGAGGACCTAGGTTTTTGATTGGCCTCATTATTTTACGTACCATGATCAAAGGCACCCTTGAAGTGGTGGGTTAAAGGGAAACAACCCCATTTTCTGACTTTGATCACCCCCAGAAACCGTCAAAATCACGGCACCAGTTTGGGGGGGTCCCCAATTTGACAACAGAGAGCCATGCGAGGACCGACTGTAGCTGACCTTCTGCAGTTTTTAGATCATTTACATACATTTGTTTGTGGTGGCAAGCTGTAAACTTGTTGCTACCAGGTGTGGGTGTCCTCTTTGGTTTGCTTGTGGCCTAACAAGTGTTTTTTTTTTTTGTGGCCAGTCAACCGACTAAGCGGTTCAGCCGCTGGCCGAAACTCGTTGTTACCAGTGTGTTGGTGTAAGCGGTTCAGCCGTTGGCCGTATAACATGCGTAGAGAAGCGTTATGCTTTGCTCCCAATCCCAAGAATGGGCCCTTGCCGCGCAGTGGGAAGCGGTTTGCTACAGTCTGCCAAAAAAAAGACTACTCTTCCTTTTTACATACTTAACCCACTTTTCAAGCGTTTGCCACAAATCTTGGCCCTTTCCAACAACAATGAAAGCTGACAGAGAAATGTTGGAAGACTACGTACAGCCCACTTGCAAGGCCCCCTCTCCACTTCCCTCTCTCTTCTACGATTGCCGACAGAGGCTGACTTGGTTGAGAGCCTCAGTTTCAATACCCCTCCTCCCCCTCCCCTCCGCCCCCCCCCCTGCCACCACCCCCCATCCTGTCACCCCCCCCACCCCTTGCCACCCCCCCTTGCCCCCACCCCCCCCCCCGCCCCCTTCCCCCCCCCGCCGCACGCGCAAAACGCACACAGGGGCCTGCCGCTTTGTGGGGCTGAACGCGGACAAGGAGGACTTTCAGCTGCTGCTCCTGGAGGACGGGTCCAAAGATCCTGCCATTGGCTGAAATGAATATTCGGCTGTGGGTGAAAACCAATGAGTTCATTTTCCCCTGTTGGTTTCTACAAGGGAATGGACTTATCATTCTTGGATTTGTTTGTATTAATGTTGGGATCCCAATTTTGGGGTAGGTGCACCACCCATTTTAGTCCATTTTAGTGGGGGTTGGGATGTTCACTGGGGGTACGGGATTTTGACCCATGGCCATTTGTTGATTTTCCCCTGTTGGCTCCTTCAGGGAATGGATTTCACTATGGGGTTTATTTGTATTTTTCCACCGGTTTTAAAGAGAATCTATCGCTGGAATCGTTGTTTTCCAGTGGACTTCAGCAAATGGAATAAGATGCTTCCCCTTGGGCAGCTGGATTGGGTTTCCCTTTCATTTCCCAGGGATTAGCCCAAACCGCCTTAGGCTTGGCCACCGGGCAAGAAGCAAAACCAGCCAAACAGAGGTGTGTATTGGAGCAAGGGGTGCGGGATCCGCGATTTTTTGGCGGGTCTTACCGTTCCTGCTGCGTGGTTGCTGGTAAGTGTTCATTTGATTTCCCCGCAAGAAGGAAACACAACGTGATGCTTGGCCAAGGCCACATTGGGCCTTCCATTTGCACAAGAACATGTTTGATTGTCCCGTGTTGGTTTTATACAAAGAGAATCGATTTCACTAGTGGACACATTTGCCCATTTTTCCAGGGGACTTCAGCAAATGGAGGAACATATTGGGACAAGACCCCAGGACATCGACCAGCCCCTGTCCGTCACGGACGGGATAGCCACAGCTCAGGCGGGAAGCCGCTATTAGCAGTATAGCAGGCGAACTTGACCTCTAGATATTGGTGCCAGGAGACCCCAAAAACCTCTAAAAGAAGATGTCATGGCTCAAAAAAATACACGATGCGGTTGTTGGGAAAAACAAGGTTTCAGATTGAGTGATTTGCAGGAAGTACACTGAAGTACACAGGCTTTCAAAAGGCAAGCCTGGGCAAACGCAACTGCTTCTGTAACAATGAAGTACTCGAGTGACCTCGCAATCACAGTCTGAAAAAGCCCTTCTTTTTCCAATCCTTGGAGCTAGCTAGGGCACGCTCGAGCCAAGTTCGAGTGGCAGCGTCAAGAGGGAAACAAAAACCTCACTGATAATTATCGGTTGGGGGCCCCCAGAACCCATATTTTTCCGATGGGTTGAGCCGCGGGTTCCAACAGCACAATGTTATCTGAAAACACGATGTTTTGGTGAAAAGACACTGTTTGCCACGGGTATGCCACGGGTTCTCTCCCCATTCCCACGCGGTCCCTACTTATTTGCCCCACCAAAGCCTTCAAAAAGTAAGGGTCAAGTCCAGGTTACACATGCAGCTTGATGTTTTGTTTTTTTCCTGCTGCAGGGTCTGCAGCATGGCAGCTACGTTTCTTCTTGTACACCCTATATATATATATATTGACATACCATGTGGCAATGCAGCATACGCAGGTCATGCATGGGGCCATGCCTGAACATATACATACCCCCAGTGCTCATGGTATGCCGCACGACAAATTTACAGGTTTGTGAGTCTTTTGTAACGGTGTCCGGGTTTTTGCAAAAGACAACGGCCTCACAAAGACATCACTGCAGCGGCAGTTGGCGACCCACCGCGTTCACGTTTTGGGGCGTCATGCGTGCGGGGCTGGTGTTTCGGCCTGAAGCCTGGCTTCGGCCACCCCAATGCGAAGTCCCAGGGTCCTTTGGGCGAAGAGTTGGTCAATGTTGGCAACAGCTCGGGATCTGTCCGTGGGTTGCTTTATTGGCTTACTGGACAGAAATGGCCACGCCTAGTTGTGAAGTGGCCTGGGCACGGCTCAATGTAGGAATCCAAGCGACCCTGCACATCCGAGTAGGAGTTGTCCAATGACCAGTTGTCCCCGGCCAGGATCACGGATTTTGTAAACTGGGCACATTTGTGGCAACATCGGATCCAGGTCCTTGCCGGTCCGAGCCAACTTAAACAGGCAACCGGGCCAAGTAAGCGAAGAAACTCCTTGGGCTCCTTGGGGTTATGAGGTCCCTTGGGCTCCTTCAGGTTTGGGTTGGAGGATGGTTGCAGCCTATCCGACTGACAGCTTCTTTCTTGTTGCTTTGGACCACGCGCAGTGCTTTCGCGGGCTGGGGCTGTGCAGTGGTATGACACTGCAGCGCAGTGGCAGCAGGACTTCCCCCACTGAAACCTGTTGCTGATGCGTGTTTCCTGTCCTTCTATTTGGTGAAGAATATCTGTTTATTTCCCCTGGTTTTAAAGGGAATCGATTTCACTACTGGAAAGTTTTTTTTTCCCAACGGACTTAAGCAATTGGAGGTGTCTTGTTTTGGATGTTTTGGTAGGCCACTGCTACCACCTTCGAGAAGGGCACACTGCTCAGTGCCAAGGCGCGTGCCTCATGGATCCGCTTTGTGGCACTGGGGGCTCCTTTTGCTTGAGCTCCACTCAGCACCTATCCACCCGAAAGCTGAGTTTTTCACCCAGGCCCCTGTATGATCGCAACCGGTTTTTGCATATGCCCCTCAAATTCCTGAGTGCGCGGGGCTTACAGTTTCCCTTTTCGTTTCCTTGGCCCAAAACGGGTCCCATTGGCCGGCCTCGGCGTTTTGCTTCGGTTGACCTGCCGAGGACTTTGCGCCCGGGCTCTCCATGAAGGAGGGCCGCTTGAGGGCCGTCCTGGGCGACAGCACTTTGTGCGGCATCAGCCTCCTGGCCGAGGCGGATCCGAAGGCGGTGATGAGCTTCGGCCAGGCACGGGCGAGCGCAGGGCGGTGGGGGGGGGGGGGGAGTTGTTTGGCCTGAGCCACAATCAAAACTTCGGTGCATGTTGCTTGGATGTTACTTTAACTTTTGGCCAACTCATGGGTTGTCCGTATTAAACCACTGAAATTTAAACTTTTAGCAGGGGAGCAGAAAGCAAGCGAGAAAACCGGGTAGATGAGGGTTAGGGACAATCCCAACCGTAAATTGCTGCGGCCGCCTTCTTGATTCTGTACATGGTTCTGGGTCGACCACGCTAATACCGGGTTGTGATTATTACTCACCGTTGGTGGAACAATCACGGATTTCCCTCGTAATGAAAGAGTCCTTTTTGAGGGGGTCGCCCATTTCTCACAAACGTTGGCACAAAGACACCCCTGATCTTGTTGGGTCTCAAGAAAAAGGAGCATGTGAAGCTGGCTGAGGTGGTTCACCCACCGGCTTCAGCAAGTTAAGAGGCCCTTGTCGGGAAATAGGCCCACTGCTGATGGTGTGTGACGTTTTTCACTCCTACGCCACTTGTTTGGAGCAACACTGCACTGGAGTCGAACTTTTTGACAAGAATCGCTTACCTTTGAAAGGAGGTCACACGGGATGCCTTTGTAGTGTTTCCATCCTGGCGGGTTTCTGCGGCTTCTGGGGGCGCTTTTAGAAGGTCAAGGCAATCTGAGCTGGTTCCGGGCTTGCAAGCCATATGAACTGCGGGATTCTCCCTGCACCTCGGAAAATTCTACTTTCGGCGGGTGCAACTTTAGAGCTTGTTTCCGGTTACATCGCTGTTTGCAGTGCAAATTGGAGGATGTTACTTTGAGGGACCCAGTGCTATAAGCCCGAATAATTGCCAAGGTTTGGCAGCTTCCTTTGCAGGATCTTGTTCGGGGTTCTCACTCCCGAACCACTTCCCCAAGGGCAGGGGGTGATCAGGACTACGACAACGCGCTCTACACTGGCAAGACGGCTGGCAGCAAGAAGGAGCTGATTGCTTCCATTGCCAAGGTTGCAAACTGGAAGTTGGACGACGATCTTGTGGCCACCGAACGGGTGCTTTCTGCTTCTTGGAGAGGCACAAATCGCATACGGTCTAACTTGAACTGGGGTATGTTGGATTTGAGGATGGGTAACAAATATGACCCCGAACTTGCGACCAAGTTAACGCATGAACATGAGATGTGGAATCATCGAGCCCCTTGTATTAGGTGTTTGTTTTTGGTCAGGTTGTTGAGAGACGGGTTCCACCGGTTTCAGTTCGGTTCTATATTTTTTTGCCAGCGCCATCGGTAGATGACCAGACACTTTAGGAGAGCACTGGGACAATTCCCGGAGTTACATGTCAGATTGGGCTGATTGAACCTAAGGTGCCCCGTTTGGGGCGAGAAAAGAAAGCCAAGGGACCCCACCTTCTCAAGCTCTCCTTTTCTCACTGGAAAATTATTTCTGCCAAACACTGCACTAAACAAACCGCAAAGAACCCTCATCAGAACAAGAGAACAATGAAAGTAAGGCTGCTTTCTACATCTTCAGGATGTCGGTGGAACCTTCTTTTTCAGCCTTGGTCCCGGTTGGTACGCCTCTGTTGGTCTTCAGGGAGGCACCTGTCTCTGCAAGGCTTTCAGCATTGCCAGCGACGACAACACAACGACGGCCATGACCATGACAACCACGTGGCTTGCCTTGCAATCACCTTTTGCTTCAGCTGCAGTGTGTTCGCACCTCGGATGCTGGAGTTTCCCAACATTAGGTAAAGCATCATCCCACCCGGACATATACAATGAGCTTGCCCTTTTTGGGGGGGTAAACCGCGCACATGAAGGCCCCCCCTCCCCCTCTCAGAATGTTTCAGAGTTGTGAATTTCAAGAATTTGGCCAGTCCCGGGCGTTAGATGGGGACTCCAAATTCTGTTTCTGTAGCCGGTTCCAAAGGGTTGCTAGACCCTCACCATGACGAGTTCATCAAAAACAAGGAGCTCAGCATTCTGGAAAATTGCCCCTTGACAACTGATGCTGCTCAGACAACTAGTCATGTACTGTATCTCCCATGCACGCCAGAAAACGGGGTCATGACCCCTTTAATTTTGGTAATGACCCCATTTTTGAAGAGTCATGCAGACTCCAGGTTGTCATGTATGATCATTCTCACAATGCCACTGGCACGCGCATCAAGGGTAAGTGACCAGTTCCAAAGTGAGAGCTTGGGAGCATTGGAGCTGCTCCAACTTCCCTCAGTAGCAATTTCTTCTCCATTTCTGGTTTGGTGGGTTCTCCCTTCAAAGGGTTCGTACACAAGTTCTCCTTTGGCAACTAGTTCCAATTCGATCTTGGTTTCCGGTGACCCCAGGTGTTCCTCTCCAAAAAGGTTTGCCTACGTCGTTTTCTAGCCCAAAAAGGGTCCCAGGGTCACTTCTTGCAACCGGGCATTGCAGGATGATGATGGGTCCCAACACGACGACGCAGACGACCATGACCACCACCACGGCGTTCATGGGCACGACCATGGAAACCACGGCCATGGGGACTACCACGGCCATGGGGACGAGCCTTCACCAGACTCATGCGGATGGAGAAACCCAACAAGTCGGGATGGAACCCCTCTCTACATGTGGGGAAAAACCACCAGCTAGGATTTTGACCCCACCCGGCCCACAGCGTTCTTTTTAGTTCTGTCAGTTTGATTAAAGCATCACGGATTCACTGGTTTGAGTTTGGTACTCTTCGACCAGTGCCATCTATATTTCCCCAAAAAAACACCTATGATAGCTATGACCGAGAATGCCATGGCTTCTTGGTGGCTCCCAGCCATCCGGTTCCTTAGCTTTTTAGCCTTTCAGTGTTTAGTGGGGGTGTCCATTTAACCCACCAACAGTTAGTCACTTTTAGCAGGGGATTTGTTTGGGCAGCCCAGGTTTGTTTTACACCTATGATACCTATTGCAGGTCAACAAGCAGCACGTAACACGTCGCTTTTGGGCAGCAGAATGTATGGCTGGCCGAGGACCATGGGGACAACCATGATGGGCACTACGGCTCAGGACGGGACAGGGTATCTAGGTCTTTCAGTGGTGCCCTGTTACCCTTTTTTGGGGGAGGGTTCCCCCACTAAAACAGAAAAAGGGGCACCCTTATTCTAACCTCTCTACTAGAGGGCCTAGGTACGTAAAGCTTCTCCTGCTGCGCAGCTGAATGTGCACAGCTTGCCAATTTGAGACGTCACCGGTGCTTTGTTTTTACCAACGCCCCAGATGGGTGAGCGTGGCCTCCAAAATCAACACACGGTGAGTCGCACAAGCTGAGTTTTCAGGGGTGCTATTCTGTGTGAGCTCCTTTTGTGGTGATCAAAAGGGTTTCTTGAAAATACGGACCCTGGTGCTTGATTATTTTTTAATCTAATCGGACTAGAGGACTTCATACCAATCGAGGCCCAAGACCCAAAAGATCAGTGCCTTTGACCCCCGACCGCACTTCAGTCAGTCCTTTTGGACCCCCCCCCCCCCAAGACTCCGTCGATTTTGTTTGGTTCTTGTTGGCTAGGTCCACAAACTCGTGGAAGCCTGTGGATCCCTTTCTGACCGGGAAGCCTCGTCCATTTGTCCTGACCGGCCAGGCCACCAATCCCCCCCCCACGAGTTCGAATGCTGCGGGACTCGGGGGCCTGGGGTGCCTCATGCTCTGGACCTTGATGTGAGGCGGAAGGCAAACGGAAGCCGCGCGAGGGGACTGCAGGGACCAGCAGGAAAGGTAGATCACTTTGCAACAGCTAGAAACATGCATAAAAAGGAAGACACATGATGGCTGAATATCCAGTCCACTTTGGATTGTGGTACAAGAACTGGATTTCGTTGGGGTTGCAATATGTTGCAATGGCTGTAGTCTCTATGAGGTATAGTGTCAATTTTGGATTAATCAGGATGATCATGAGACTAATCCGGGTTGCTTCCCCCTGCAGTGGGGAGACATTCATCCAGGAATTATGTTGGTCAGTGTTGTCCTTTAGATCAATCCACCAATCCCTAGTTGCTGAGGCGAGGCGCAATCCCTAGTGTACATGCCGATGTTTGCAACAACGGTATTCAGTTGCGTCTGAGACTGGGCCAAAATTAAACCACCAGGGCACCGCAGGTTGTAGTCCAAGTTTCCTTTACCAGGGTTCCATTTCGGGTACATATTTTTGACCCACAGCCAGTTGAAGAAGCCCAAGCCTTGTCGCCTTGAGCATATGCCAGTCAATGCTCGTCTACGTTGGGTTTCTCCAGTTTGGCTGCCGAGGTGACGGGGCCTTTAGTTGCAAGTTCATCTTTTCATGGTTCATGTTCTGCTCGCCCCTGTTGAATAGTTGATTGATCCAGTCTGAATATATGTTGGACATGTCCTCTACCAGCCTCATTTAGATCTGATCTGGGAAGTTGAGGCTCTAAGTTTGCAACTGCTTCGTTACGATTTCGACCCCCAGCGACCATGTCTTGGAGCTTCGCATGGCATCAGGCATGTCGTTTTCCCAGGCAGCTGGGCTGTCAACATACAACTTCTTAATACAACTGGTGCATCACGTGACGACGTGCAAGGGTGGTGCATCACCAGGGGCAAACTTACCACAGAGCCAATGGAACTGACAAACAGGTCCTACGTGCATTATTTTGGCATCCCAGGTTTTGCGGGACTCATCTGCAGCATCGGGGTTTTCGACTTGGCACTTGGCTGATTCATGATTGTGTTGGTTTTCAATCCCCATTCAGACAGCTTTCCCCAAATTTTTGGCACACGCCGATGAATCCCATATAGCTGCAAGTAGAAGGAGAGCGAGATGACTCCTTGGATGGCTTGGCTTCGTTTGGGCCAACCTTTGAGTTCCCTTGGGCGGCATTTTTGCCATGGTTGAGACCGGCCGCAGAGCTCGGCAGAAACCAATGATCGGCTTGCCAGTGTCTAGCCTGGCCAGCCCTTTGCTTGGCCGGCAAGTGGGGAGGCTTGGTTCCGGGGGAGGGGAAGACAGTTGTACTTTCATGTATGGGCACACGGTCACGCGGGTTGGATTGCTGATTGGGTGTTGTTTGGCTTCTGCACGGAATGAAGCTCACATACCAATCGCTGGCAGATGCTGCCTTGCAAACTCCTGTATTGGGTGTATATGGGTATGGGTCAAAATCAAACCACCAGGGGACCACAGGTTTTAGTCATTGTTTCCATTTTCCAGGGTGCCATTTTGGATACGTATTTTTGATCCACAGGCATATAAGGCGTTGTGCCTTCCAACCCTTGACCTGAACACGGAGTTGATGACATGACAGCAGCCTTAGTGTGTGCGCCCCCGAACTCGACCAACATCCAGCAGTGACTCGTTGAACAAAAAGCCTCGCCCCCGGCTGTCTAGCACCGCTTTGCAAGTTTTTCCTAGCCATAGGCTTTGGCTTGTGGCTTACGCTTGAGCTGCGTAGCAGCTTGAGTTGTGTAGCAGCTTGCATGCCCGAAGAGCTTACTTGGGTGCCTGTTTCATTGAGGGATGTTGAGGGCACTTTTGCCGCACATGGAGCCGAACACCATCAGGTTCCCATTGAGAAACCCAGTGGGCCGTCCCGGGCTTTGCAAACGGCAGTTTCACACTCCAGAGCCCTGGGAATCTCAGGACTCGGACTCTCTGGACTCTCAGGCTGTTCGCGCTGAGCGCGTGGCAAAAGGCGGCCATGTCCTTCTTTTTTGTTTCGCGGGGTGTGGAGAGGTGGGTTGGGTTAGCCAACCTTGTTGAAACATGCCTAGTCATGCACCCAAAGCAGGTTGTGAAAAGGCATAAGGGATACCGTCTAGCTGGGGCCGAGTCCTTGTGCGCCGCAGTACATTCAAACAAGCTCCTTTTGGATCTTCCTTCGAAGGGGGCCAGGACCTGGCGGGTTGAACGAAATTGTGCCCAAGCCTAGTGGCCCTTTTCAAATGTCCGTGGCACCCGTAAAAGTGTGGGCTTCCTTTGGGAGAGATGCCAAGCGGGTCCCCAAACAATTGTGGCAACAGCACGCTGGGAGAGGCTGCCTTGGTAAGTGAACGGGGGCACTTGCACCCTAGCCTTCGGTTCCTTGAACATATATTGACCCCGCCCCCTTTCGCCCAGCAACTGGCACTCTCCGACACCTCGCCTCCCGGATAGTTGTTAGCCTGAGGGCTGTTACCGATCAATATCAATACGGAGCCTCGGAGCACATTGAAGCTGAATGTTGAAACAACTGGGTTTAATTCCATGGAAGAGAGCATAGTGACGGCTTGCTGACCGCTGTCAAATTTATCAACTTGCTTGCACCTTGGAGAGGGGAGGGTGTTCTGTGACGATCGAGTGTCCTGACTTACTAGTAGTTTCCATGCGAAGCTGCTACTTGCGGAAACAACATCTACACAGCTAGCTGCTCAGGCGCAGTCAACGATTTGGGCAATGATAGCTACCTCATTGAGCCAAAATCAAGGCCTGGGTAACTGGAGGTTAGCACAGCTCTGGAACTGAATATTCAGAGCTCGCTGATTTGTGTTTCGGGGTCTTGGTCAGGTGCCAGCAGTCTGGGAAGACCCCGCGTCACAAGCTCGTAAAAAAGGGGTATACCTACCTACCGACTTGGAGCGTGGGTGTGCTTTGTTGCCTGACTTCGTTGTGCTGCTTTGACATGCTTCTCGAGTGCTAATATAAGGCCGAGCTGTTCACTCCAGGTTTTCATAGTTCAGGCCAACCACTTTTAACTTACTCACAGCCCTTGAAAGGGTTTAACATGCAGACCTAAATCATAGGTGACCCTTTACCCCTACGGTCATGACTGATTCGTTCAAAGTACCCCTCAAGCCCATTAACGAATCAGTCGTGACCCCTTCATGGCCCCCTTAAACGAAAAGTACCCATTTCAAACGTTCAATAGTGACCCCCTTGAACTTCGTGGATCACTTTCCCCGCGTCTCGGGGGGACATGGCCCCTCAGTTGTTCAGTAGCACCAATTTTTTCCATTTTTTTGGTGGCTGCTCCACAAAAAATGGTCCAAGCCCCAAAAAGGGTTCCCTTTTTTTCCAAGGGTCACTGAACAGGGCTCCTTAAAAGATACATTTTGCCAATTTGAAACATGGCGTTTTCCACCAAAACAAAGGGACAGCACCATTTACAAGGCAATGTTCAGTTTTTATTCTTTTTTTAAATGTAAGGATCCCTGCTGAACAACTGAGACCGTCACATGCTGATGGCGCCGAGGTATCCACGGGCAGTTCACGGTGAAGCAGGACCCTTACCCCCGGCGCTCGCTGGGCAAGAAGCTGTGCCAGGCGCTTTTTGTACCTTTCCCCACCTCCCAGTGGCTGAATTGGCTGTGGTTGTCAAAAATCCCATTTTGGGGTAGGTGAATTCACCACCCATTTTAGTTTGTTGGGGATTGGGATGTTCACTGGGGGGTACGATTTGGGTTTTGACCCATGGCCAAATGTGTTTTTTGTACCTTTCCCCGACTTCCATTTGCTATGTTTCCCCCCTTTTGTTGGTTATCGATTTCACTGCTGGGCATATATGTTTCATTTCTTTTCATGGGACCTATGCAAGTGATGACACACCGGTTGGGCTTCGTATGGTGAACCCTGAAAGGGTTCCCTCTCTTAACCGGGTGACTGGGCAACTGGGTTTCAGGGACTCAGTCAACCAGCTCATATGCCAAAAGACTGGTTCTTCAAACCGTCGCTGCTGACACTAAATGTAACACACAGTCTCAGTTGTTCAAAGCCGACCTTTTGACCTTTTGGTTTTCCCATATTGGTCCATATTTAGTCATGGCCCCAAATGGTTAACCTTTTAGTTCCAGGTCCTTTGGGCAACTGAGCAGTATGAACACACATTCTGGGAACACGCGTTGATGTGCCTGGAGCAATATGTGCACATAGCGTTTGTCCCGGAGCGCATTCGGCTTTGGCGGGAGAAAGCTTCTCAGGATGCAAGCAAGGCATCGCCTCAAGCCAACGCACAGCATCCAACTGTCTGCATGAATGAGCGCAAGTGAGCAGGCGATGGCCGCTTTCACTCAACAAACCAACCAACAAATGAGTAACAAACGCCCTGGCTCCGGAGGTTTTTCCCATGTTTGCCCTGGCACCGGCTTGCGCTGTGCCTGGTAGGGCTGCGCCCTTATCTTCTCGGGCATCGGAGTGATGTATGGCATCATCCAGTAGGGGCCTCAGCGGTTGAGATTTGGCAGGGCTATTCCCCAACCCGACGCAGTGACGCAGTGCATGGAAGGCTCGCGCGTGCTTTCCCCATACATTTGTTAGGGGGGGTTCCGTATTTTGGGACGACCCATGAAAGCTTGCGCTGTCCCTTTGGCACAGGCACCCTGCTGGCAAGCATTGGCACCAACTGGCCAACCGGGCAACAGAGCGGTTGCGCCGTGCACTGCCCAGAAGCAAGCACTATGAGCTTGCCGGGGTGGGGGGGAGTAGTTTGCGAGTCATAGTATCTTAGGCCAGATCCTGGTACTGCAATCCAAGGCGTAGCCCGTGGCCCCAACAGGCTCAACAGGGTTGGTGAAGAGCTGACTTGGAACGTCACTGTTAGTGTTTTCAACGTGCTGAAGAAGCAATGAAAGTCGGGATGGTTGACGAGGACACCGGAAGGCACAGCTGCCAACCAGGAGTAGGTAGGCGCAAGAGGCTTGTAAGCACGGCCAGTGCTTTCGGAGTTGCTCAAGCGGCTGCGTTTAAGATATCTCACCGCTGGCCCCTTGCGCTGTACCAAGCTA